GACGACGCCGGCCGCCGTTCGTCGTTACTTTAATTAGGTCTCTTTATACGGTCCCTCGTTCCTCTCCTGCCACTTTCAGATCCGGCTGGCGGATAGTATCTTCTTTGCGAATTCTAACGCGCCAGAGGACTCTGTCCTTTTCATCCTCGTTTGAAGGGACGAGTTAATGATTAGGTACATCCCTGCCACGCATAGTGCTGCGCGCAGCACACGCACTTATCTCTCCCTCAGCAGTGGTTCGTGCAGCAAGACCACACGCCAAGCTAACGCAGTCACGTGTAGTGTAATACGCGGGGCAACGTTCCTCCATAAGTGCAGCATGACGCCAACCATTTCTCACTCGCCTTGTTGGACCAACCAGTTCTCGCTCTTAAGAGTTTTGTCACCGTCGTCGTCACGCGTGGCGTCTGGTCTTGCGCTGCTGCGTAACCATCACTATCACCAGCGTCGCCGCGACTTATAAGCTTCCAATAGCTGTGCTGTATCGGGGACTTTGTGTTGTGCGTCGTCAACGCGCTGCGCGCCATCATCATGTTGACCGACGCCGATCCCGCCATCGTCGTCCTTCCGGACGGCACGATTCGTCTCGTCACGCCGCATCTCGCGACGGCAACGGAAGATTTGCTGCCACCGCCGCCGCCGATGGCCGACTACCACTCCCGTTCGACGGACGGCGGGCCCAGGCTGAGCCCCCCCAATCCTGGCGCCTGCGGGGACACGGTACGGGAAACCGGCGGAAGCGGACCCTGTAGACAAGCGCGCGCATTCTGACTGGGCGCAAGCCTACCCCCGCTGCGCGTCGTTGCAGTCTCGCGGACTCTCAGCATCTTGCAGAAGTATGGGTTGCTGAAGCTGAGAACTAGTGCTCAGTCTTGATTTGTGTGATGTAGTGTTTGATATGCACAGTTGGCAAAGTGGTGATAATGATGTAGCACCTAAAAGGAAGTGCTGCAATACAACATGTGCTAGACCATGTCTCCCAATGTACGTGTTTTTGTAACACCAGGTTGATGGGCCTTGAATGCGCTTGTTATGCATTTCCCCCTTGTAATTTTCCAATGCTCGACATTGAGGACTCTGGTTGTGGTACCTAAGTTTCATTCCCAAAAGCCCATAGCAGTTGCACCATTTAGCACATATGGTAGTAAGCACAGAAAGCCTGTACTTTCTTATTACTTAGGGCGTGTGAGGTCGGATTTGAAATTCAAAAAAAAGTGCGAACTTTGTGTGGTTACCAGTTTCGCCAATGTCGCATAAAGCTACGAGCGAAACTTCGTCAACTTTGGGTTTGGCAACATGCGAACTGCAAACTTGAACAAGACTCGAGTTTTAGTTGTGAACGTGCTTCGGCATGTTCACATTCACGTGTGTGATTTCCCGCACGTTCGAGCATCTGGCGAAATGTGCGAGCGACTCACGAGTAGCAACAGTTTCACAACGAACTCACCACAGCCTTCGTGTACTGAATAGAGACCACGTGGCGATAATCGGGTAACCTACTTTTTAGAACCGGGTAACCTACTTTGTAGAAATGCGGTTCGGTGCGTTTTTACAAGTTCGAATACGCGCACTCGACCTTGTATATGTGTGTGCTTTTCTGCAGTGTTGTGGTCCAGATGTGCGAACCCCGATACAATGAAAGTCGAGTTTGGTTCGACATATGTTCATGTAGCACAACTCGCCCTTAAAATGTAAACTTTCACAAATTCCACCGATCACACGCGCCCTTACAGCTTCTTGTAATAACAACGTAGCAGTTTCGCGATTCTTCCGCACCGTCCTTTCCCACCAAATTGCTGAGTTTGATTTGAAAGTTTCAAAACCATCAAGCGCAAGGTCCTTTTCAACATCGCGGCTCGGAAATAGAAAGGACTTCGCGACGCGGCGTTGTCCCTCAGGCACGACCACGCGCACACATCGCTCCAATGTGGCGTTGTGACGAAGGGATGAAATGAAGTGCTGTGCCGAAGAGTGGGAAAGCTAGCATCCTCCGCCCCTCGAGTCCCTTCCGTCTCGACTCGACTCTACTCCATCCCCAATCGAGTCACACCATCGGAACTATTACATAACTGCCGTGAGGAAGAAAATTGCATGGCTCACATCGTCCCCCACGTTTCAGCAACAGCACCAGCACAATCACAGGCCCTTGTGACTATGCTGAAAACGGATTGTAAGTGACAACTGACGGTCTCTCTCCTCTTGGTCGATCCGGCCCACAGGTAACCGCAATCCGTTCCATACCAATTCCAACAGCACAGGCTCGGCAACAACGGCATCTTAGTCAATTGACGACGCCGGCCGCCATTCGTCGTTACTCCAATAAGGTCTCTTTGTACGGTCCCTCGTTCCTCCCTGCCACTGGCAGATCCGGCTGGCGGATCGTATCTTTTTTTTGCGGATTCTAACGCGCAAGAAGACTCTGTCCTTTTCGCCCTCGTTTGAAGGGACGAGTTAATGATTACGTACAGCCCTGCCATGCGTAGTGCTGCGCGCAGCGCACGCTCTAATCTCTTTCTCAGCAGTCGTTCTTGCAGCAAGACCACACGCCACGCTAACGCAGTCACGTGTAGTGTAATACGCGGGGCAACGCTCCCCCATAAGTGCAGCATGACGCCAACCATTTCTCATTCGCCTCGTTTTACCCATCAGTTCTCGCTCTTACTAGCATCGTCACCGTCGCCGTCGCGTGTGGCGTGTCTTGCGCTGCTGCGTAACCATCACTATCAGCAGCGGTCGCCGCGTCTTAGAAGCTTCTAATAGCTGTGCTGTTACTCTTTGGGGGCTTTGTGTTTGTGAGTCGTCAACGCGCCGCGCGCCGTCATCACCATGTTGACCGACGCCGATCCCGCCATCGTCGTGCTTCCGGACGGCACCATCCGCCTAATCACGCCGCAGCTCACGGCGCCAACGGAGGATTTGCCGCCGCCGCCACCGCCGGCCGACTACCAACCCTGTTCGACGGACGGCGGCAAGCGCGCCAGGGGAAGGAGCGACGGGCTCAGGTTGAGCCCCCCGCCAACTACGCATGCGGGAACACGGTACGCGCGCTCGTCTTCCGAAGACGAGCGCGCGCATTCCGACTGGGCGCAAGCCTACCCCCGCTGCGCGTCGTTGCAGTCTCCGCGAACTCTCGGCATCTTGACCGCGGCGGACGTCCTCCGCGAGTTCCCCCGCCACTACCTCGCGCTCTCCCCCGCCGCCCCTCCGCCGGGGAGTCTCCCCAACCGCGGAGTCTCCGCAGACATCTCCCGCGACGAACACATTCCGCTTCCCGCCTGGCGCCCGCTGGTTCCCGGCGGGACGTACCAGGTCGTTCCGCACACGTTGCGCCAAGCGGGGGAAGGCGTCTCGTCGCGCTCGCTGCTGCGCACGTTCGCGTCGTGCCCGGAAAGATTTGATTCCGCAACTCACCGCGACGCGATCAGCAGAGGGATCGTTTCCGTCGCCGAAAATAAGCCAGTTTCTAGGAGGAGTGCGTTAAGTAATGGCACTCCTGCACCGGAGGGATGTCCGACATCCTGCGATGATTACGGCGACGTTCGCTCTCAATCCCCCGGATGTACCCACCCCCCCACCTGTACGCGTTACAAGCTCCATCACGACAACCCTCCTCGTAGTAACTGGTCGCAAGGCGACACGATAAGCCGTTCCGTGAGCTATTCCGGTCCGCACGCGACGGGCGAAACGCCACGATCCTACACAACGTGCGATTCCCCGTCGGGATTACAGGAGAGGGGAACCCCAGTAGTACCAGCAGCCGTTGGCGTGAACAACGGAGTTGGTTCGCGCGCAACAGGCGATTCACCAGCCCCGTTATTATTGGCTCCGTCGTCATTGACATTTCCGCCTTCTACATCTACTGGTTCTAGCTCGAAAAGGCTTCTACGGAAAGTGAAACTTTCGGCGTTATGCAAGTGGTTTTACGGAAGCAGCTGCAGCGGGAACGACGGCAGTGCCGACTGTTGTGAAGTCAGGGAAAACAATGTTCTTGAGTGGGATGAGGGCTCAAATGTTCTAAACTTCGCTTCAGAATCAGCTATTAACGGGTACAGCTGTAGCTGCTGCTTCAACGTCATCCGCACCAGCAACACTGCCAGCAGCATCAGCAGAAGCAGCACAACCAGCAGCATCAACACCAACACCCCCAGGAGCACCAGTGTCAGCAGCGCCACGCCCAGAGGTCACCTTGGGAATGACGCGAGGCACAAAAGGAATATCGAAATGCACGCGCAGCCTGGTTGTTGCTCTAGGATTATGAGGTCTTTGAGCCTTGTTACGGAGGAACCGTTTTCTCGTATCGAGCTTTGCTCTACTGAGGATGCTTGTATGGAGGACATGCGCCGTGCAGCAATGATGCTGGAGCTTGCTTTAAAGAGGACGGAAGACTATGAGGTGTAAACAACCCCTGCTTACATCTTCAATCAGGTTTCATCTGCAAGGGAAGGCAGTGGCGCAATACTCATTGCAGAAGCTGCAGATACAATAAAGGGGGTTGGTGGTGGAAGTGGTTTGGGGGGAGGGAGGGATGGTCGGCAGGAGGGATATGTAAATAAAATGAGTAGGAGTTAAATCCTGTGGCTTGTACTGCTGCCATTTGATCTCCTGTGTGTTAATCCAGTTTCATTCTGGTGTGTTTTACTGTGCCGTACGTCCAGGAGAAACGGGGTGGATTGCGAAGGCAAGGCGTGGGTGGGAGACTTGGAGTGAAAGAAAATAAAGAATAATGTCCCAGAAAAACTACAGAAGCCATTTGTTAGTTAAGTATTTGTATGATCCACACATTGCAGGAAGATCAGTCCATCACCCCAAGAGCAGTCCAGGGTAATCGCTGGTGAAAGCAAAGAAACTCTGCACTGCATCACACTGCACTGAAGCTCACAGGCTGTGATTGGCCTATGGCTTGGATAGTTGGATATTTCCCTTGTATCGTGCCCAATTCGCAGTGTGATCCACATACTGTAGCGGTGTGACCACGCTAAAGTTCGTTGACTAAGGTCGGCCTATTGTTTGGGTGGTTGCCTTTCCACCACAAAGATATTTCCCTTGTCGTCACGCCCGATTCGTACAGTGTCATCCACATAGCTGTGACAATAAGGGGGGGTTGTACATGAGGTAATCGAGAGAAACGCATGCAGGGCACTGAAATGATGTGTGATTGTACAACACGTGTGCGGACAGGAAAGGAAAATGCACACACACGCAACCACTCCAATTCAAACAACCAGTACAGTACCTGTATATAGGCACTCTCATTGTACCACGTATCAAGAATATCTATATATTTCCTACATGTACAAAAATGCGCACACTATGCGTCACGAGCGCAGATGTTATTTGCAACCACCAGAAGCACTCACGTTATCTCCAGCCATCCATCCGGGTTGAATATCCTCAGAAGCAGGTCGTAGTTCTTCTCAAATGGCTATGAATCACCAAGTGCACAGGCGCAATTCACGATCACCAGACACACTCACGTTATCTCGAGCCATCCATCCGGGTTGAATATCCGCAGAAGCAAATCATAGTTTTTCTCAAACAGCTTGTTCAGCTGGGGGGGAGCAGGGAAGGGGGGAGGGGGGGGTGAGGAGGGTTGGGGCGGGTTGGGATGGGACAGCGTGCAGAAAGGGAAAATTACAATGCAGGAGAAAACACAGTAAGCGATGTACTTGTTGTGAAAGAGGTGGCTACGGTGGGGAGGGTTGTTGCGATTCGTAGAGGGTGGGGAAGGGGAAACGAAAGACAAAGGAGAAAATGCAGAAATCAAGATGGCGGCAATGCAGCTGTTGTGAAACAGGTAGCTAAGGTGGTGAGGAGGGAGCGAATAAGGAAAAGTTTGGCAACGACGAGGAAGGGAGTCCATTAGAATTAAGATCCTACCTGCAAGAACAGACCACCTGGAGCGAAGGTGGTGAGGGGGGAGCGAATAAGGAAATGGTTGGCAACGACGAGGAAGGGAGTCCACCTTTTGAGTCGACGTGACTTTTGAGTCGACGTGACTTTTGAGCCGACGTGACTTTTGAGCCGACGTGACTTTTGAGCCGACGTGACTTTTGAGCCGACGTGAATTTTGAGTCGACGTGACTTTTGAGTCGACGTGACTTTTGAGTCGACGTGAATTTTGAGTCGACGTGACTTTTGAGTCGACGTGACTTTTGAGTCGACGTGACTTTTGAGTCGACGTGACTTTTGAGTCGACGTGACTTTGAGTCGACGTGACTTTTGAGTCGACGTGACTTTGAGTCGACGTGACTTTGAGTCGACGTGACTTTGAGTCGACGTGACTTTGAGTCGACGTGACTTTCGAGTCGACGTGACTTTGAGCCAACGTTACTTTTGAGTCGACGTGACTTTGAGTCGACGTGACTTTGAGTCGACGTGACTTTGAGTCGACGTGACTTTTGAGTCGACGTGACTTTTGAGCCAACGTTACTTTTGAGTCGAGGTGACTTTTGAGTCGACTCAAAGGGAGTCTCCTAAATTAAAGATCCTCTTGCAAGAATAGCCCACCTGTAAAATCACTCCACCTAGGAACTCAATACAAATAGGAAATCAGCCCACCTAGGAAATTACCCCACCTATGAAATAACCCACCTGGGATAATTCCTCACATGGAAAGAAACCCACCTGATCTGGTACAATGCTGGAGCTTTCAAATTTTATGTCCACCCGCTGCAACAGAGAGCAGAGAGGAGAGAGGAGAGAGGAGAGAGGAGAGAAGAGGGAAGAGAGAAGAGAGAAGAGAGGAGAGAAGAGAGAAGGTAGGAGGGACAAGAGGGAGCATAGACAAGATTAGGGGGCAGAGTTTTCACAGGAAAACATGGGCAAATGGAAGGAGGGAAGGAGTGAAGAGTTTTTGTGACAGCAATAGGACCAATCAGACCAATTAGATTATCGTTCGGAAATTAATTAACCCATATGACATCGCTCTCACAGTAGGGGAGGCGATGGTGCACGTTGCTTCGATGGTGAGTGATACATGGAATATAAGGAAATGAGCAGCAAGGGAATGAGTGAATGAAAGACACACGGTGCTGTGCTCACAGTAGGGGAGGCGATGGTGTATGTTGCTTCGATGGTGAGTGATATATGGAATATATGGGAAATGAGCAGCAAGGGAATGAGTGAATGAAAGACACACGGTGCTGTGCTCACAGTAGGGGAGGCGATGGTGTAGGTCGCTTCGATGGTTAGCTTCCCTGACAGCAGCCCCAACCCCCTCACTGCAAACTCCACCACGTTGGCTGCTCGCCTCTATGGGGGGTTGCAACGAGTTACAATGAGTGAGGAAGGGGAGAGGTGAGTAACTTCCTTCAGTCAGCACGGGAGAGGGAGATAGATCTCACCGTGTTCTTGTCAACAATCTGAAGGAAATCATTCAAAGAAATGAAGTCCCTCGGGCCCAGCTTGGTTAATCGTCCTTCAGTCAGCGCGGGAGACAGATCTCACCGTGTCTTTGTCTACAATCTGAAGAAAGTCCCCCAAAGAAATGAAGTCCCTCAGACCCAGCTTTGTTCGCTTGGAGCCGAGGATGGCGATGGTGCTGTATAGCAGGCGCCACTCGCCTGTGATCTGGGAGGGAGGGAGGAGGTGAAGGGCGGGAGGGCAGGGTGGGGAGGAGTGGGTCAACAGTCCCTTAGCTGAGACCCAGCTTGGTGCGCTTTGAACCAAGGATGGCGATGGTGCTGTAGAGGAGGCGCCACTCGCCTGTGATCTGGGAGGAAGGGCCGGAGGAGAGAGAGGGAAGGAGTGGCAAGCAACAGAGTCTCTGAGGCCCAGCTTGGTGCGCTTGGACCCCAGGATGGCGATGGTGCTGTAAAGAAGTCGCCATTCTCCCGTGATCTGAGTGGAAGGGCGGGAGCGCAAGGAGGGGAGGGGAGACGTGGGAAGGCGGTCCCTGAGGCCGTTGGATCCGAGGATGGCAATGGTGCTCTAGAGAAGTCGCCACTCTTTGGTGATCGGGTCGCATGTATGTGTGGGTATGGCATCACTGGCGTGTGACCTCAACTATAGGATGTCCACTCTCTCACCTCGTCTATGTGCTCGGTGGGAGCAGGTCGCGGGTTAAATTCTTCCAATCGCTTCATGATTGCGTTGAGAAAAGCCCGCTCGATTGTTGTCCTGGCACAGTACGCTCTCTCACCTCGTCAATGTGCTCAGTGGGAGCAGGTCGCGGGTTCAATTCTTCCAGCCGCTCAATTATCGTGTGCAGATAAGCCCGCTTGGCCAATGGCATGCCAAAGATGCCCCGGTTGAGGCCTGGGCGAGGAGAAGCGGGGATGAAGGGGCGGGGGAAAGGGAACGGGCAGGGCGGGGGGAAGTAAGGGGCAGGAAATAAGCCCCCTTGGCGAATGTTGCCCTGGTTGAGGCGTGGGGGGAGAGAAGAGGGGCGGCCGGAGGGGGGAGGGGGGAAAGGGGAGAATGAACAGGAGGGCGGGGAAAGGGATGGGATGAAGTGAGGGGCGAGGAAGGTATGGTGGAAGATTGATGTCTATAAAGGGAGATTGAGGAGTGCGGGGGGGGTTTGAGGGGAACGCTGAGGGGTGTGGGGGGAACATTGAGGGGAAATGAGGGTTGTGGGGGGAGAATGAGGAGTACTGGGGGGAAATGAGTGGTATGCGGGAAAAATAAGTGGTGTGGAGGGGACATGAGGGGTATGGGGGGATATGAGGGATGTGGGGGGAAGATGAGGGGTGTGGGGAGGAAATGAGGGGTATAAGGGGAACACTGTGGGGTATGGGGGGGAACATTGAGGGGAAATGAGGGTTGTGGGGGGAAATGACGAGTACCGGGGGGAAATAAGGGGTTTGGGGGGGAAATGAGGGATGTGAGGGGGACATCAAGCACAGAGTTACACCTCTTTGACATTTAACCCAGGATTGAAACACTCAGCCGATTCTAACCATCAGAATCAAATCAGCCGATTCTAAGGCAAATCCCTGTTGAGGGATTAATGATAAATGTTAGTCTTAAATCAGCTCCCACCTTCTAGACCGGAGTAAAGCGCGGCCTTTAGCGACGCAGCGTCGCTAGGCAGGGAATGCGGCTCGGCAGCACCATCCTCGGTAGCAGCAGCCTCGACATTGTCCCCGGAAGATGCGGCGGTGGAAACGCGACCTCGTGCAGGCGACGCATGACTGACCCAGCATCGATTGTGCCGCGCCTCGGGGTTGAAGTCGTGACGCGCCGGGTCCCACGGGCTGGTTCGTCTGGGGCATGCCGAAGCAGCTCTAACTTGCCGAGCTTGCCCGACTACTATCCGAACCTGCGTGTCTAACCGAGCCTGATTGGTTACCCGAGCCTCTCGTCCTACCGACGGGGTACTTTGGGGAATAGAAACGCTAACGGGAGAGCTGACACGTAATGCCATGGTGGGAAGCACGTGTCGGCATGTTGCTGCTAACACATCGTACTGTCTTCATTTTTTAATAATTGAATTAATTTATACAGCTGACCCATCATGTCTGGATGGTGTAGTCGGTTATCACGCCAGTCTCACACACTGGAGGTCTCCGGTTCGATTCCGGGTTCAGACAGCCTTTTTCCCCTCTAAATAGTTCATGCTTGGCCTTCCCTCTGCATGTTTGGGCCTCTGCATGTTTGGCCTTGCCTCTGCATGTTTGACCTTCCCTCTGCATGTTCGGCCTTACCTCTGCATGTTTGACCTTGCCTGGGAGAGCCATGGCGCCGCACTTTTCTGTGTGAACGAGGCATTCTTTTCAAATCACTGCTGGCCAATGACAAAGAAACCCAAGCTTCCTAGACAGGGCAACCCTGCTTGCCACATTCTGCTGTGGACACATGTCCCAATCGATGTGTCCCAATCAAGTGTACCGCACTGCATCGTATTACACCAAATTACACCCTAGTTTCGAAATTTTCGCGTCTCTGGTTTAGTTCGGTTCGGAGCGGTACACTCGATTGGGACACATCGATTGGGACATGTGTCCACAGCGGAATGTACCCTAACCAAAGCCTTCCTGACCAATTCTACCCCACAACATACTTCTTTTCAAATCACTGCTGGCCAATGACAAAGAAATCCAAGCTTCCTAGACAGGGAAACCCTGCTTGCTTGCCAACGGTTACCGGTACCAAAGCCTTCCTGACCAAGTCTACCCCACAGCATACCGGTGTACTTCTGCTTTTATGGTAGCATGAGTGGAGGTAAATGAATGTATATTTGGCATTCAGAGTACAATTACAACTGCGGTAATCTTGTAATCTCCCTGGCACCGTAATTGGTGCCATAATGAGTTTGTAAGTAAACTACTGCAGCCCCATCCCTTTATTCGGGGCAGCAAATAAAAGAATGTCGAAACTTCCAATCCGCCACCTGGCAGCTTCTACTGCAGTACTTGGCTCGGCCGCACCTCACACAGGTTCGGAACTCCCCAATCCTCGTCTCAGGCCTGCCACAGGCCGGGCTACCGCAGCAACGGCGGCCCGCGGGGAGCGGGCGGATGGCATGCCAGGTGGCAAGAAACGAGTGGATGCGATGGGGCGGCGAGGGGCGGGGAAAGGCGAGCTGGAGCGAGAGGGGACAGTGAGCGTGGTTGTGCGTGTAACTGAGGAGGGAGGAGAGCAGAATCTGGGTGAGATGGGCGCTATTGGCAATCAAAAATGCATTGTGCGGCTGAGAACCTTGTAGGGAGCGGTGACGATGGTGGTGGTGAGAAAGGTTCGGATCCTGGTCTCGGGAAAAGCCTTCCTGTACACTGCTCTTCTTCCCATCCTCCTCTAAACCCTCCCACGCCTCCCTTTCTCCACCCTCCTCCCCTTCCTCCTCACCCTCTTCTTCATCATCCTCCTCTTCATCCTCCTCTTCTCCATCCTCATCTATACTCCATCCGGCAGGCCTCTCCCCACCAAACAGTTCATACAGAGTATCCCTGGTGGGGGCACGCAGCAGGTTCAAGCAAGGCTGAATCGACTCCCGCCCAGCAGGCCCAGTGCCTTCCCAGCCATCTTCTGCAGGCTCTACCGCTCGGTTTAAATCCAGATGCAGATTTCCTTGTCTCAATTGCTGCCGCTGCTGCTGCTGTTGGGGCGGAGGCGGCTGCTCATTTTGCTGCTCTGTGCTCTTTTCAGTTGTCTCCCGCTGTTGTAGTCGTCTGATAACACTATCCAATCCTCCCTCTCTCTGCAGCGTCTCAGTCCCTTGAGCCTCCATTTCTGCACTTAGGTAAGCATTTCTTTTAGCCGCAGCAGCCTCACTTTGCCTGAGCACCACTTTGGTGTGCTTATGCTTACCCCCACTGGGAGGCCACGAGAAGGAGCGGCCGAATCTTCTATTCCGCCACGCCTGCAGAGCTTTCTTGCCAGATTCCTGACCATCTGCTGGTGTTGCTTCTTGTGCTTCTGTTGTTCCTGCTGCCTCCGTCCCAGCTGCTGTAATTTGTGCTACAGGTGGGGCTGAAGTTTGCGCTACAGCCGGTGCGGCTGGGACGGCAGGTACTGTAGTCAATGGGGCCGATAGGGCGGCAGGTGAGTGAGGTGGAGCAGAAGCGGCGCATGGGAAGGAGTAAGGGTTAGGAGAAGGAGAGGTAGGCGAGGACGGGCAGTTGCCGCAGCGGCAGGTGCTTGTGCTGCCTTCCATAGCTGCTGATGCATGCTGCAGCAGAAGCTTGCCGAGAGAAATGCGCTGGGAAACACCATAGCCGTCCTGATGTGAAGGAAACAAGGAAAAAAAAAAATAGGGAAGACGATTAAAACTTGGATGAAGTGTATATTTTAATGAGTGGGAACTGTAGGTGGATGAGACAAGCCAAGCGCTAAAATTTTTAAAATTACTTAATTGCGTACCACGAAACAGTGTCCGAGTTCTTGTAACGCGGGCATGAATCCTAATTTCGCCGCCCGCCAGCACAGATCCACACCCGCCTGTGGATTCGTGTCCCGCGCGGTTCCGCCACTCCCGTGAAAGTTGATTATAGCGAGGGAATAGGTCGCAGGACCATGTCCGAACTCCGCCGCTTGCGCGAGCAAGCGCGCGCCCGCCCAGTGATTTCCGATACAGTAAAAGGAAATCTGTGGTGGAAATTTCACGAGGGGCAAAAAGGGAGATCGTAAAGAGAGGGCAAAATTAGGGCGCGATCGAGATTAGGTGAAATCCGGAAGCCACAAGATAAAATATTTACATCTAGGTTAGGGCTTCGAAAATTCACCCTTAGTCGGGCCTATCCAATAGGAGTTTTCCCGTCACGCGGTTTCCGTACGCACCATGCCCGCGATATAGATTGCCTCGATGTTGCCCTCTGTCGCGGCGCTGAGCAGGAATCGCTGCACTGCGGGAGTCCAGTGCGCCGCGTCCGTCGGCAGCAGCGACTCGACGGATGCCGACGCCAGCAGCGACCATTGCGACGCGGGTCGACAGATGTCGTAGAAGCGCCGGCATCTGTAGCGACAATCAGGACGAAAAGGCCCAGGAGCAGATTTAGGATTAGAAGTGCAAAGAAAAATACAGCAAAAATACAGCGCAGAGCAAGCGTAGGGTCGGAACGCGTCACGATGTCTCAAATGAAGGACAAAGAGAATTTCGTAGACTACAATTAGCTCTCACGTTAGCAGCAAGCTGACGATGTCGGAGAGCGATTGCGCTTTCTTGAAAACGTCGCGCAAGATGGCCGCGACGAGCTCATTCTGCGGGCGGACACGGGGAAGAGGGGGGGAACGGGCAGGGGGGAGAGGGAGAAAGGGGAAAGGGGGGGCAAGGGCAAGGGGGAGAGGGAAAAGTGGGAAGGACGGGGAAAGCAAGGGGGGGAAAGGGGAAAAAGGGGGAGGGCGGGGAAATTGTTAGTGGGAGGTCGGAATGAGATCGCTCTTCCAGGATGGATTCAGCAAGGGATTGCAACGAGCTCAGACGGACACGGGAAAAAAGGACGGGAGATGGGAGGAAGGAAGGGAGAGGGGATGGGAGAATATCGACAGTTAAACGCATGGATGGGGGGCGGGAAGGGGAGGGGGAAGCGGGAGGGAAGGGTGGGGGGCCGAGGGGAAGCGTCGGACGGATGAGGGATGACGGTACAGCGAACGAAAAATCAAAGCGTGAAGGGCATGGATTTACATTGCGCGCAAGAGGATGGCGTTGGGGGGTGGAAGAAAGGGATGAGGAGGGAGGGGAAAATGTGGGCTTAGAAAGGGAAAGCGGGCGAAGCGCGGGGTTGCGGAGTGAGGGAACCTACAGGAAGACGATCGATGTGGCAAGAGGCGGAAGGAAGCGGCGACGCGTCCGCGCCTCCCTTCCCCCGATGTGCAGTCGCGCAGTCGTCAATCTCAGGCGCAGCGCGTTGCCCGCCGCTTGCGGCGTCCGTATGGCGCAAGCTCGGGACAGCAATCCAACTGCGGCGCGAAGGCTCTGCTGCCGCGGCGCTGTTTGCGTAGGACGTCCTTAATCGCTTGTTCGGCCAGCCCATAGGATCGAGCGCATTCAGGAACGGATGTTGCGAGACGTGTTGGTACGACGGAACGAGCGGCGACATTTGCGCCCACTGGTAGGAAACGAGTCGAGCCAAGTTCTTAGCGGCTTCAACAGCGAATGAGCCAGCAAAACGTCGAAGGGAGAAGGCTAAGTTTCCCGCGGCGCGTTAGAGTCTCCTTCGCGTTAGTTGTCCGAAGAAGATTCGTGGGAACGCGAAACCACTTACGATCAACAAACAAAATAATACTAAATAGGCGACCGTAGCGTCGAGGTGAGAAGATGACGCGAGCCCAGGTGAGGTGGCCACGTGAGCGTTGCAAGTCGTTTGTTTTGTGATCGCAGTGCCAGCTTGCCTGCGAAGGGTTGCGTCCTTGTTGGGGTTGGGGTTGCTTGCAAATGCAATGCAGTCACCACAGTCAATCCAACCTCCGACCAAAGAGTTTCTTCTTGCTGCTGCAATGCTGTCTGTGGGTGGGAGCTTTCCCCCTGTATGTGTGGTCAAATTTCTCCCTGCGAAGTGCTGCTGTTGGACGAGACGAGACTTGAGACTTTGTTTGCTGCCAACGAGCGGGGAAGTTGCTTAGCGCGTGTGAAACAACTGCAGTCGAGGGTCGATCTCCTGTCCCAGTTAGGGCGCGTAACCATTTTGTATTTTTCGATTTTGACGGACCGTCCGCTTAAACCGAAGCGGACGGTCCACTTATCGAGAACGGGACCGTCCGATTGAGTTTTTTGCAACTTCGGACTGTCCGAAGACAGTTGTGACACTTTTTTCCTAATGTACAATTTCGCGATCACTGTACAAGCGTTACGAAATTCATTCACGTTCGTCGATATCGTCATCGAATCATTTTTGTTTTTAGGTTGTCTATGGTTGGTCAATGTTAATTCGTGAAGCAGCATCGCATGATTTTGTTGGTGGACGAGGTGACTCGACAATTTTTACATCGTGCGCCAATCGTGTGCAAGGACTTTCGGACAGTCCGTTTGAGATTCGGACTGTCCACGGTTCAGATCTCGGACCGATGAAAATAGGAAAAAGTGTCACGACAGTCCGCTTTGTTGGCGATGTCGCCAACACCTTAGCGAACACACTTACGACGTAATGCGAATTCTGTTACCTTTTCGCCACCCGGACGGTCCACGGTTCGAACCGTCGGGTGCAAAATGGTTACGCGCCCTTATTGCTTCTCCCGCGTCCCTTGTTTCGCTCCTCCCCCAAGCTGTGTGGTGGTGGCGCTCGATCATCCGCCCGCATTCAAATTCTACAGAGGTTTGCGCGAATGTTGGGGGGAACAAGTGGGGAAGGGGAAGGGAATGCGCGGAAGAACAACACAATGCGCCTTGAGGTGATGAGTCAGTTGCCCTTCGTCCAGCGTGGCATTGGCAAGTTTGGCGATTTGTTGACAGCCACAGGAAGTCGTTGTGACGTCGTCACGAATGAGATTTCGCCGGGGCAGAGCGTGAAAACAAACTTGACCAGATTCAGGCGAGAAAATCCTGGCAACAGGCAGACAGGAAAACAGAATTCAGGAAGGCAGGCAGGCAGGCACGGAGCTGCCAAACCTTGGGCTGCAAAAAAACTTCTTTCCGTAACTGCTTGTCAGATCTTGATTTCAATCAAAGCCCCCAACCGAGACAACTGGCATGACAAGTTGCCACCGACAGGTAATGAAATGAACGAGGGGAATCCACCACACAGCCTGAGTTTGTTTTGCCCAACTGGAATGATAGTGGTGCGGTGCGGTGGAGAATGACGTGCGAATGCTGCCGATATGCAAACACCCCTCCAAGATCCACGAGAGCAGCACGCGGCCCCGAACACAACATGACAAGAACGATGAAAACCTCCAAAGCCTGACCGTGCTCCCCAAACCCGGGAGGTTTTCATCGTTCTGACAAGATCACATTTGTATATGAAAAGAACGATGATAACCTCCAATACAGATCACATTTGTATATGAAAAGTGAGGGAGATGGCCTTTGGTCGGCTGAATGCTGTATGCAGAAAATGTTTGTTCTGTCAATGGGTAATCGTCACAACATTCTGGCGAACTCAGCATCAATGGAACATCATTCAATGCCATAAACAGAACTGAATGCCTCGTATCTACGAACGTCAGGAAAAGATCATCTCATTATGCAGGCTCGCAAGGAACATCATGTTGGATGCCCGTTCATTTTTTCTCGAAGTATTTGCGAACTAAGAAACAAAAACTCGGGAAGAATTCTAGGACTCAGACACCAGAGAAGGCTGATTTTGTCATTCACGTTTTTTTCGTAACGAAATAAAAAAAAACCTTGAAAAAACACTCTTGAAACGAACCCTCACCGAAAGTCCATGCTTGACAGTACGACTGTGGGACCTTGTGTTTGTTTTCTTCCCATAAGTTGCATACAGCTGTTTGCCAGCTGTCAACTGCATCCAGCGACTTGGCAAGCACTGATACTGTATCCTCTTCCGCTGTACAGTAGACACATTTATCCCAAGAACAGTTTGACTCGCCTGCTTCAAATGTTGAAAACAGAGTTTACAGTGAAAGGCGCTATCGCCCTATGCTTGATCGTAATTATGTTCCAAAAGCAGACAGCGGCTTTCGTAATTTGCACATAGCATTAAACACTATGACCACCCTAATACATGGATACAACAACCCCAGGTTTCCTTACGGGCACAGCCACAGAATAAGCTCCAAAATGCACACGTTATTGTAAAACACACATATGAATGCAACCAATCAATACAGGGATATGACGGTATCAGTCTAGTACCGTAAATGGGAGAATAAATCACAGGTTCCAGTCCGAACTCTTCAATCAGTAGATTATGACCATAATCCAGCAACTCCCCAAGCCTCCATTCCACCACCTCCCCCTCATCTGAGGCTTGCTGCAGTTTCCCTGTCATCCCTCGTCCCCTCCTGTCACCTTAAAGTCCTTCTGTCCCTTCCAACCCCCACCACCCTAACCCCCTCCTCCCTCCTGTCACCTCCTATTCCTTCCTACACATTCCCTGGCAATCCCTTCCACCACACCACCTCCCCACCCTCCCCCTTCCTCCACTTCTTTCACGCACCTCCTTTCCCCTCTGCTTGGCACCCAACCCCTCTAAGGGTACATTACACACACAACACCACAGCAACAGCTCCTGTGTAGTCATTATGGCGAAGAAGAGCAAGCACGATCGGGGGAGTATGACAGCGGCATGTAGAAAGAAAGAGTGGTCTGTAGGCGGGTGGTCCGCAGCAGCATGTATGTAGCAGGACGGTCCCAAGAAGGATGTCACGTGACAGGGCGTCTCAGCCAATAATCCAATCAGATTCAGGGCAGTCATGCATTCGTGAACAATATTTTCCGAGGGGATGGAAAGACCTGCCCCTCATTGTCAAGCGCCAAAGCTAGGGTGAACTTGAGCTGGAAAATATCATCTTCCCCTTCTGCTCCTCCTCTCTCCTCCCCTTCGTCCTCGTCAGCCAACATAACCACGTCAACCTCCTCTTTAAATTTCACTCTCCTGCCCGCAGTGTTAGATCGCACAAGAGTAACTTCCCCATCTTCGCGATGCTTATTTCTGTTTACAGTTTCCGACTTGCTCCTCCGCCAGAGAGCAGGAGCCTCCTCCTCTTCCTCTTCCTCCTCTTCGATGATTTGCTGACTGTGCGAACTGCTCCCGGAGTCGTTTCGTTTGTGACTCCCCATGCTTTCCAGCGATTCGTTAGAGGAACTCGGCTTCAAAATTCCGTGCCTATTTGGCTCCGCTGTCAGCCTTAAAGGGGATAAACCCGGCGGTTTCCTGCACGGGCTGGGGCTATTCGTGCTGATTCCCGCTTTAGGCAAACCTTTAGGTTTCGACGAACCGTAATGCTCGAAACTCTCACATCGCCTGTGCTGCACCGGCGGTTTGCCATACCCCGAAACTGCGCCGCTTAATCCGCTGCTTTTCCCACTCCCGGGCTCCAATTGGCCGGGATCCAGTGACGTGGCGCGCCGCAACCTATCCCCGGAGGCTTCCCTCGAGTCGCCCGATTCCGCGTGGTTCCAAACGTGTCCACTGGACGGAATCTGCTGCCGGAAAAGATTCGATTCTGGGCTGCTACCCGAAGATCTGAGACTACCCATGCCACTGCCGAACCCCGCGCTGGCGCTGCTTCCCCCGCCTCCGCCACTTCCGCCGCCGCTGCCACTGCTGCTGCTGCTGTTGCTGTTACTGTTACTGCAATGGCTGGTGGAAGCCTTGGGAATGGGGCATTTATCGGACGACCCGCCGCCGAGTCGCGACGGCATGAGCCGCCCGCTTTTAGTCCGGAAGATTCCTCGCAGCTTCCCGCCCCACTTGCCGTTGGCTGGCTTTTCCTCCACCAGCGCACCAGCGACCGCTTCTCCCGCCGCTTTTTGCGCCGCATTTTCCGCCTGTTGTTGCTGCTGCTTCTGTTGCAAATGCGCCGGCTGGGAAACGGGAATCGCGGCGGACGGCGCGCAATCGCCCATGTATTTGCGCTTCCAGATGCTTTCGAGGAAGCTTCCGTTGAGGACCGCGGCCGGCGGCGCCCAAGGCTCCGCAGGAACGTTCTGATCGACGAAGAGCTGCCACGTGGCGTTCGCTCGCGCCACCACCGCGTGCGCGTGCTCCGGACCCAACGGCTCGCTGACGAAGGGAAGATCTGCGGTTCGAGGTGAACGGGTGAGGAGGAAACGGGCGGAGGGGGATGGAGGGGGGTGGAGGGGGTTGGAAAAGGTGGGGAAAAGGTGGATGGGGAAGACAAAAGAAGGGCGAAGATGAATGAAGGGGCACGAGTAGATGAAGCGGGAAGTTGAGATCGGGAGGGGAAGAGTCGGAGAGAGCGGGTCAGTGTAAAACATCCGGCGAGTTTGAAGAGTGCAGCGGTCGGCTCAAAACTAGATAAGAGGAAGTGGAGGTGGGGAAGAAGCGGTGGAGATTAGGATATGACGAAAGATAACGGCCTCACCTGCTGCGTGCCGGCCGTTCGACTGGAGCACGTCGCGCGTGCGAAGCCATTCGCGAATGTCGTTAAGCGACCCTGGAAACGACGCTTCGACGTCTTCCATCGATTCCAACACGCTCGCGACGGGGCAGTTACCCGATATCGCCACGACCTTCCATGCGAAACTTTTTCCCGTCGGAGACGCGACGGCGAAAGCTGCGAGAGGCTTGACCGAAACAACTTCGCCGAGAGCAATTTCGCTACCGCTAATCTCGATAACCTCTATCGGCTGCTCGTCGCCAGGCACATTTGGTAACTCATCGCAAGTATCGTCAGGATCCTGTCGTGTTTGGGGCAGCAGTCCAAGACTCCACGGGCAGTTTGTCGAAAAATGTTTTGGAACAACCGCTGAGTCTACCGCACCCTCACTAACGCCTCCCGACGACCCTCCTAAAGCACTAGAGTCTCCTGAATCTGCAGAAGCAACGGACGGAGCGCATCTTAACGGGTTGTAATCTTCGGGCGCGAAATCGTGCGGAAGCCATGTGCCGGCGGGAGCGGCGGAGATGCAATGGAAGAGACAGTCAGGGTCGTACAGCGGGATATCGTGGCACGGGGAGAGGATATGGCGGTGGGTGGCGTGGAGGAAAATCATACGGAAGGAGGACGAGCCGGGCGTGCCGAATTGTAGGGTTTCCCATTGTTCCTCGTGTGACGTCATATTTATGAGGCGGTTCGATGGGGTATGTAATCACAAGCTAGACTAGGACTCGAGAAACCGTGGCTTTTATCTACCAGTGAAGGTAGGAAGTGATGAGAGACAGACATGAGTTGAGAATACAAGCTGGCGGAACAAACTGCTCTACTCGACAGGGGGTTGTTTTTGAGTATGTTCGCTGCGGTTCGGTACGATTCTTCGCGTGGCAGGACGGTTTATTCGGAGTAGTGAACATTTCTGTGGAGTTCGGGTCGGAACTTACCTGTCATGCCGCTCTGCGATTCCATGTTCCAGGGAGGCAAACATACAGCTGTACAGTATTGAGGTGTGGGGCGCGGGCACGTAGGGGGAGGGAGAGAGGGGAGGGAGAGAGGGAAGGGAGTACAAGCGCAAAACGACAATTTCTGAGAGCCGAGCATGGTTGGCTCAGCTTGAGGTCAAAGCACTGCAATATTCGCATACAAGCGAGGTCATCAGCGAGAAGAAAAAAGTAGGGCAGAGCAGGGCTGTGACGACAAAACCAGGTAACCAGCAGTTGTACGACAGAGGTGGTAGGTGAACAGCACACTTCCCCTTCGTTACCAAGAGGAGGCCACAGTGGTGATTTTCAGCTCATGAATGGCGGTGGTTTTGCTCACGCATAAATTCCTCGGACGCGTGGCATGCGGATATCCACACTGTGCCACTGATGCCAAACTTCCTCCCAAAACTGTACAGTGCAAACAATTCTGGGACCAGATTTCCAAGGCTGTAATTCATTACAGGAACGGATGTCTCATTCTTGATCATAACTTGAAATGAATGCAAACAGAACGACAAATTTTGCGTGGCCTTTGGCGACAGCCAATGAGCTGGCAGAAACAGCTGGCAAATGAGGACCTGACGGATGTACCGTATCGGCTGTACCCGCAAAAGACTGATTCTGCGGAAGGAATTATGGAAACGAGTGTGGTCTGCTCATGCTCGTTATAATAAAGTTGGCTACATAAAAATCAGTAACTCACGAGAATAGCTCAACTAGCTCTGAGAAGACGTTTGTTTGTACATGAGCCCATAAACTCACATTTTTCTTCCAGGTACGTATCATCATAATACCTTAAAGAAAATAACAGAGACTCCTTCACAAGAAGGGGACATGGAAGGGAAGAAGGGTGGGTGGGAAGGTAACAAAGGACCCATCACAAGAAAAAAGAACACAACGATGGGGAAGAATATGAGTCGGTCAAGAAAATGTGAGGGAGGAAATGGAAAGAAAGGGGAGGAAATGAAAGAAAGGGGAGGAAGGGGCGGAGGGGGGGAGGGATGAACCATGAGAGGAAATGAGAGGACCGGATGTGAGAAAAGGTACGGGAGAGGAGAAGCCATGAAAGGGATACAGGAATCGAAAGAGAATGAGGGCGAAGGGGGAGAAGTGGAGGTTAGGAGAGGATGGGAGTTCGAGAATAAAGAAGAAGAGGGGGAGGGGAGGAGGGGAGGGGGGGCGGGGGGTGGGGGGGGTAGGAGGAGGAGAGAGAGAATGGCAGGGTACGTGCAAAGATAGCGGATGGGTGGAGGGGGGAGCAGAGGGTGAGGTGTCAGTGCAGTAAGGGGGGGGGGGGGGGGGGGGGGGGGGGTAGGGGGGGGGGGTGGGGGGGGGGGGGGGGGGGGAGGGGGAAAGAGGAAAGGGGGGGAGAGGGGGGAGGAGAGGGGGAGGAGAGGGGGGGGGTGGAGGGGGGGGGGGAGGGGGAAGAGGAAAGGGGGGAGCGGGGAGGAGATTGGGCAGGAAATGGACCTGGAATTCAAGGGAAACGCAAACTTCCTTTTCAGGAACCGCAAACTTCCTTTCCAGCCATCTCTTTGTTTGTAGAACAGCAACATGGGACATGCTGGTGAAACTAGCTGTGCGAACGTGACTGTATAAAGAAAAAGTAATATTGTTCAACCTAGTATAATCCAACATACACTCCAAATGAGCATGTCACGAAATTGTTACCCTACCTCTTTACTCGTATGGGATCTGCATGTACGCCGCATCTGAAATAAACGGCACGTCGGCATACGTCCCGCGAATCGCGCACCAGATGCACTCGAGCACGATAAAGATAAACGCGACCGCAATAGCGAGCCAAAAGTGCGCGCCGATCTTCCCCCAATACACCGACTTGGGAATCCAATCATTCAGCGTCCCGACAACCTGAAGGATAATCTCCAGAAGCATCCCGGTAACCACGTGGAACCGCAGGAAATGCGGCCAGCGGTTGTTCCTGACAACCCCAAGGTACGCTCCGAAGAAGTACGCAAGCATGAACCAGGAAGGGAGCAGGCCCAGCAGCATCAGGAACGGCTGGCACAGCTGCTCGTATGTGAAGAGGAAATGGAAGAGCGATTGAGCCGTTTCGCTGTAGATCCACGCCTCGCAGAGCGGCAGCAGGTACGGAACGACGGCTGCGATTCGCCAGTACCACGCGGGCCGCGTCTGCATCGGCGGAAAGCCCTTGAACGCGGGGACGTCGCTGTCGCCATCCGCGGCTCTCACGGGGGAGACGCGCCGGCGGGGCGCGGAGGGGGAGACGGCGGAAGGGGAGGGCTTGCGCAAGCGGAGGGAGTCCTGCTGGCCTAGGAAGGCGGACGGGGAAGCAGAGGGGGAAGCGGCGGAAGCGCGGAACGCGGGGTTGCGGGAGAAACTAGCCGTTGGTGTGACTGCCTGGCGCTGCGCTCTGCGTTGACACGTGGCCGAGAAGCTGATCTGCTGCGCTCCTGCCTGAGCGGATAGAACGGTGCGGATAGTAGCCATGGCGGAATGTGTCAGCACTAATGAGGTCTAGGCAGGTAATTCTGGAGATTAGAAGCCCGCTTCGATGAAGACTCACGCGCGACGGATGTCGGACGCGAATACCGCGCGGACCGAGAGATACGTCAAGCGACTTTCTCCCCGACTCGGACCCGTCACCCAGCAGGTTCTAAACCCCTCACGGAAATTTAGGAATCAGAACCAATTTCTGAAGCCGCGCTGCAACACTTTGTAAGGGTAACAAACGGTTGGAAACGGTGATTGCTTGTGAATAAGGTGTTCTCATTAGAAATTGAAGGGGTTGAGATGTCAGCATGAAGCAAATCCCAAGGGCTGACAAGGACGCAAATGTGATACTATCGGAGAACTCGACGAGTGTTCGAAATGGCGAGGGTTGCTTTGTAAGCGGATTGGGTGCACGCTATCCAAAAGGGCGGAATGCCTGTCAACGTGGCGTGGAGGAAAATGTTGCAGGTGATGACGTGGAGGTTACGAATAACTTGGGGCTTCACTAACTTGGAAGAAGTGTAACGTTTCTATAATGGTGCCTAACTCACACACAATACCTACCTATGCTGTTATGGGAATTCAATTGTTGATTCTTTTCCAAAAAATACAAAACTAGCTGATTCAGGAGGAAATTACCACGAAATAAAGCAGATGCAACACATCTGCCATACAGGGAATAAAAAGTCCTGATGTGAAACTTACGCCCGCCGGCGTACATTAGGCTTGCGTGCCTCGCTCTTCCCACGGGAATCTGCGCCGAAGCCCCCCCACCCACCAGCAGCGCCTGTTGCTGCTGAGCTGTCGCCACCTGATGAGCCAGGTGTCGTACTCCCAGTGGCTGCCACTCCTGCAGCTGAAGCCAACTGTTGCAGCCTGAAACAGTTCAGCAAAGACATAGGAGAATACACCAGGACAAGGAGAATGCAGTACTTAGGATGCAGCTGCGAAAATAAAAGAAGTGAGGGGGGACCAGAACTGCGAGCAGCAAGTTTTTAGGCGTCCAAACGCACCTCAAGAAATTCCGCCAAAATCCGATGACTCATGGTTAGCAGGCGTTCAGGCGCCGTAAAAGGCAGATCCAAAGGTGGATTAGACACACGTACAGGCGCTTCAAAAGTCATCAAGCAACTTACTTGGGCAGGGAAGCAACAACCGAGATGACAGCAATTGCAAGCAGCACCGGGAGAAGTGGGGTCGGTGCAAGATCCTGGTAAGACATTGGGCAAAAGGGGGGCAGGACAGAGGGACGAGATTGATACAACCTGAACAAAAGAAACGATTCCAAAATGACATTCTGAGTTGACTAAAACAAATATTTCGGAACGATTTTGGCAAGCTAGTGATGCGTGTGGGGGGTGGGCATCAAGACACTGTTATCTCATCAGTACAGTACTTAGCTTTGTATAATTAATTGAGAAACAGACACACCTCATTTGACCTTCGCTCTTCTGCTTGGAAACGCGGTGTCCCCGCATGCGTGGTTACCGCTTCCTTGGCATCTCTCTAAAACACGTGAGATTTGATTCAGGAAAAGACGCACCTCATTCGACCTTCGCGCTTCTGCTTGGAAACGCAGCGTCCCCGCATGCGCGGTTACCGCCTCCCTCACATCCACCTCCCTGCCCTCGCTCTCAAACACGTGAGATTTTCCGGGCAGCCCGAGACGAAGTTTCACGAGGTACATGCCCCTGGGCAGGTCGCGAAACTCGAAGAATCGTGAGAGCGGGACGGGGATGGAGCGAATGGGAGTGGAAGAGAAGACAGGGAGAGCGGAAGCTTCCTCGGAGCTTCCCTCTGCTTCTGCTGCTGCTGCCGCCGCGCCGTTGGTGCTGCTGCTGCTGCTGGTGCTTGCACCAGTCTTCTCGTTATTGTCACTTGCAGGTACAATCACGCTGGGGAAGAGATCGACGTAGAGGTTTGGCAGCCACTTGGCTATGTCTCTGCCGCTCACTGCCCCCGTTATAGTCACACCCGGGGGCGAGTTGAAGACCACAAAGTTGACGTTTGGAACGTCGCCTGTGATTGTCTGAAGGGTGTGATTGTAGGGAAGGGTGTGGGACGGGCGGACGGGAGACAGGACGACGGAAAACAGGAAAGTCGTATGCGGGTGTGGAACACATTATCGAACACGGGTCTTCCAGGCTGTTGCTACAAGGCAAGTCTGAGAGAGAGGCACTGAAGGGAAGTGTCTAAGAGTGTTAGAAAAAAGAGTGTTAGAAAAGGGAGGGGGTGTGTGTGGGAGAGAGAGGGTCTAAGAGAGGGGACCATAGAGTAAAGAAGAGAGGACCGTACCAGCAGAGCCTGGTTCGGTGATGCACGTTCGAAGCGGGGGAGAGACGTGGCGTCCTTAGCAGCACCGGCCCTCACTGCCACCCCCACCAGATAAGACCCCCCCGGGCGCAGCCCCCTGAGCCTGTACTCGCCATCCTCGTTGGTGACTGCCATCTCGTAGTGCGATGACTGCTGTGATCCGCCTCCCCCAGATGCCACCTCCCTCGCCTCCACCTGCACGCCTGCCTCTGGCGCTCCTGACAGGGAATGGACCGAACCCAGCACACTGCAGGGAGATACGGACGGAGAAGACGGGAATGGATGCAAGTAATAAGAAACAAACATGCATGTAACGCGTCCCCCAGATGCCACCTCCCTCGCCTCCACCTGCACGCCTGCCTCTGGCGCTCCTGACAGGGAGCGCACTGAACCCAGCACACTGCAGGGAGATATTGGAGGGAGAAGACGGGAATGGATGCAAGTAATAAGAAACAAACATGCAGGTAACGCGTCCCCCAGATGCCATCTCCCTCGCCTCCACCTGCACGCCTGCCTCTGGCGCTCCTGACAGGGAGTGCACCAAACCCACCACACTGCAGTGAGAGAAAAGGGGGGGATTGGGGATGGCAGCGGGGAGAGAGAGGAGAACTCATTCTCGAAAAGAAAAAACAAAACAAAACAAATTCCACGTAAAAGACAGCCGACATTCACCTGAGTGAAACACACCTGACATTCCACCTGAAACTCACCTGAAGGCCACCCTTTTTGCAGTAAACGCCACGTCCACCTCCTGCCCGGACTGCAAATCAATCGGGCGGGCAGCCGGCGAAAACTCATACTCCTTCAACACTGGCCGCAGGTAGTAGCTGCCCGGAAACAAACCCTCGAACGCGAAAACATTCTGCCCGGGAGCTGTCGCCTCGTTACGCCTGAAGCTGGCGTCTCCGGTGAGTGAGAGGAGGACAGATGGCAGCGGCTCATTGGCCGTGGAGGCTTCTGCTGACGTGGCGATTTTGACGGTGATTGAAGCGAGCTTCTGTGCTTCAAACGAGTTGTCTCCTAGCGCCTTGAATACATAACCCATCTGGTTGGGAAAGCAAGGAAGGTAATTGAGAGATCAATGAGGGTGATTGGAATAGTTTTGAGTTGACTCAAAGCTTTTGTGCTTGAAACGAGTTGCCTCCTAGCGCCTTGAAAACGTATCCAGTCTGGTTGGGAGAGCAAGGAGGGTGGTTGGTTGGTTATAAGCGTAATGAGGTGGTTCAGGAGAGCAATAACGGTGGTTGGTTGGAAAGCAACGAGGGTGGGTTGGGAGAGCAACGAGTTGTCTCCTAGCGCCTTGAAAACGTAGCCCGTCTGTTTGAGAGAACAAGGAGGGTGGTTGGTTGGAAGAGGAGGGGGTTTGGTGAGGGAAAGCTGTCGACAGAGTCTTACAGGACCTAAAGAAAGAAGAATGAAAGAAAGAAAGAAAGAAAAAAGTCACAATATGTTGCCATGAGGAGGAATAATGCTAAAAGGGAACCAAACCAGCAACAGCAACTCACCTTTTGCAGCTCCACGTGGTAAGTAGAGTCGTCGTTCAAAGGCCCCACCACATCTCCCCTTCCACCCCTCCATGCTGCCTAGAAAGAGTAGCACAGCACAAGCAGCTGGGCTGAAGGAGAAAAAGCAGTTGGCATGACTCACCTTTTGCAGCTCCACGTGGTAAGTAGCATCATCGTTCAAAGGCCCAATCACAAACATCTCCCCTTCCACCCCTCCGTGCTGCCTCCTCTCCACACTAACCTCCCCACTCCCCTCCCCACTCCCCTCCGCACTCCCCTCCGCGCTCCCCTCCCCTTCCACCCCCCTCACCCGCCCCACAGTCTCACTCCACATCACCACCTCCCCCTTCTTCCACCCCGCGTTCGCACTGTCAGTGTCAGCAACCACTGACACGTTGACACGTGGCAGAGGGGGGAAGAGCCAGCCTGTGAGGTAGAGGCCGGGGCGGGCCTCGACTGGGGGGAGGGGCGGGGGGCACTGCAGGGAAGCCACTTGCACCTGATAGGAACGAGGGGGTTGGGGATACAAAGGATGAAAATGAGGGTAAAGCATGTACTGATGAGATGAAACAGCTTGCCAGTCAGGTAGAGGCCCGGGCGGGAGTCAACTGGAGGGAGGGGCGGGGGGCACTTGCACAACATGGGGATGGGGTTGAGGGGTATGAAAGGGAGAGGAGGGGAGTTGGGTTGGGGTCGATAAAGGGGAACAGCAGCCTGTGAGGAAGAGGGCGGGGCGGGCGTCGACTGGGGGGAGGGGCGGGGGGCACTGCAGGGAAGCCACTTGCACCTGATAGAGGGAGAGGAGAGGAGCGGGGGAGTGTTGAATACGAGAGACGGTTAGGGAGAATATAGTGAGGCAGGAAGGGGAAGAGCCAGCCTGTAAGGTAGAGGGTGGGGCGGGCGTCGACTGGGGGAGGGGCAGGGGGCACTTCAAGGGCGCCACTTGCAGCTGATGGGGGGAATGGAGAGGAGGGAGATGAGAGCCACAAAGGCGTGGCACTGGTTTGGGTTATAATTCACAAAATGAAGGAAGAGAGAGGTAAGGAGAAGGGGAGGGAGGCTCCTGTGGGCAGGGAAGACTAGAGAGCCATCTGCCCCTGGCCTCATCTAAAACTACCGGCACACCACCCAGTGAACTGACACACACACCCCCACCCACCCTCCCACACCTGCACGCACCTTGAGCGAGCACGAATAGAAGAGCAGGTGCTTGGGAGGAGGAAAGACTAGAGCGCCATCTGCCCCTGGCCTCCCCTAGAACTACCGGCACACCACCCAGTGAACTGGCACACACACCCCCACCCACCCTCCCACCCACCCACCCACCTTGAGCGAGCGCGGGTAGAAGAGCAGGCGCCTGGGAGGAGGGAAGACCGGTGAGCCATCTGCTCCTGACCTCCCCTGGTAGGAACTACCAGACACCCACCTGCAAACCACCCCTTCCACCCACACCCACAGACACCCATCCCCCCCCCACTCACACACTCACCCAAACACATACCTTGAGCGAGCGCGGGTAGAAGAGCAGGCGCCTGGGAGGAGGGAAGACTGGCGAGCCATCTGTCCCTGAGGGTGGCTGCTCCCGCTCCAGCGTGGAGATGTGTGCACTGAAGGGGGGGGAAGGGGAGGAAAGGGGTGGAGAAGGGGAAAACGGTTTGCCGACCGGCGAGCCATCTGCTCCTGAGGGTGCCTCTTCTTGCTCCAACGTGGAGATGTGTGCACTGAAGGGGGGGCAAAGGGGGGTAAGGAGGAAAGATTGTGGGAGTTAAATGAGGGTCAGAAAGAAAGAAGGGGTTCCTTTGACCGCACTTGAGCCATCTGCCCCTGACGGTGGCTGCTCCCTCTCCAACGTGGAGATGTGTGCACTGAAGGGGTGTGGAGGAGGGGGAAAGACGACTGGAACGGGGTGGGAGGAGGGGGCAAAAGAGGTTCTTTGGGTAGCCGCTAGTCCCATCTGCCCCTGGCAGTGGTTGCTCTCGCTCCAACGAGATGACTTATGAGTTGACTCAAAAGTCATCTGCCCCTGGCAGTGGTTGCTCTCGCTCCAACAAGATGTGTGCATTTGAGTCGACACAAAAGCAGGTTTTGAGTCGACTCAAATGTGCATTTGAGTCGACTCAAAAGAGGTTCTTTGGATAGCCGCTAGTCCCATCTGCCCCTGGCAGTGGTTGCTCTCGCTCCAACAAGATGTGTGCATTTGAGTCGACACAAAAGCAGGTTTTGAGTCGACTCAAATGTGCATTTGAGTCGACTCAAAAGAGGTTCTTTGGATAGCCGCTAGTCCCATCTGCCCCTGGCAGTGGTTGCTCTCGCTCCAACAAGATGTGTGCATTTGAGTCGACACAAAAGCAGGTTTTGAGTCGACTCAAATGTGCATTTGAGTCGACTCAAAAGAGGTTCTTTGGATAGCCGCTAGTCCCATCTGCCCCTGGCAGTGGTTGCTCTCGCTCCAACAAGATGTGTGCATTTGAGTCGACACAAAAGCAGGTTTTGAGTCGACTCAAATGTGCATTTGAGTCGACTCAAAAGAGGTTCTTTGGATAGCCGCTAGTCCCATCTGCCCCTGGCAGTGGTTGCTCTCGCTCCAACAAGATGTGTGCATTTGAGTCGACACAAAAGCAGGTTTTGAGTCGACTCAAATGTGCATTTGAGTCGACTCAAAAGAGGTTCTTTGGATAGCCGCTAGTCCCATCTGCCCCTGGCAGTGGTTGCTCTCGCTCCAACAAGATGTGTGCATTTGAGTCGACACAAAAGCAGGTTTTGAGTCGACTCAAATGTGCATTTGAGTCGACTCAAAAGAGGTTCTTTGGATAGCCGCTAGTCCCATCTGCCCCTGGCAGTGGTTGCTCTCGCTCCAACAAGATGTGTGCATTTGAGTCGACACAAAAGCAGGTTTTGAGTCGACTCAAATGTGCATTTGAGTCGACTCAAAAGAGGTTCTTTGGATAGCCGCTAGTCCCATCTGCCCCTGGCAGTGGTTGCTCTCGCTCCAACAAGATGTGTGCATTTGAGTCGACACAAAAGCAGGTTTTGAGTCGACTCAAATGTGCATTTGAGTCGACTCAAAAGAGGTTCTTTGGATAGCCGCTAGTCCCATCTGCCCCTGGCAGTGGTTGCTCTCGCTCCAACAAGATGTGTGCATTTGAGTCGACACAAAAGCAGGTTTTGAGTCGACTCAAATGTGCATTTGAGTCGACTCAAAAGAGGTTCTTTGGATAGCCGCTAGTCCCATCTGCCCCTGGCAGTGGTTGCTCTCGCTCCAACAAGATGTGTGCATTTGAGTCGACACAAAAGCAGGTTTTGAGTCGACTCAAATGTGCATTTGAGTCGACTCAAAAGAGGTTCTTTGAATAGCCGCTAGTCCCATCTGCCCCTGGCAGTGGTTGCTCTCGCTCCAACAAGATGTGTGCAGAGTCAGACCATAAGACACTCACCCTCTGGCAATCAGGGCCTTCAGCGCCTGCGCCTCTGATTCAAACATATCCTGCAGCATCTTGTTCGCCCAGTCAAGGCCATACATGCCCTCACCCTCCCTCTCCATCATAAAGACGCAAGGGCACTCACCCTGTGGCGATCAGTGCTTTCAGCGCCTGCGCCTCTGATTCAAACATATCCTGCAGCATCTTGTTCGCCCACTCAAGGTCATACATTCCTTCATCCTCACCCTCCACTCCCTCTCCCTCACTCTCTCCTTCTCCGTCACCCTCACCCTCGCTCGCGCCCTCCCTGCCCTCCTCCTCAACTCTCGTCAGATCCAGTTCTCCGCTTTCCAGTCCCTTCTCCCCTTCTCCCTCTTCCCCGCCACCCTCCCCAAGCCTCTTTCCTCCCTCCGCTTCATCCCCTTCCTCCTGCTCTCCATCTTTTGTCCTTTTCCCAGCAAGACGAAGGATGTGAGTCACGTAATCGACGTCTATATCCACTGCGCTGGCCGAGTAAAGCCGGCTATACTCCTCGTCTAAAGAATCGATTTCCTCGTCTGTCAGGCCATGCGAGCGAAGCGTGTCTTTGTCTGCTGCTGCCTCCCTGCACAGGTTTTGGCAGGTGAGCAGGCAGACAGGCAAAGACAGAGGCGTGTTGATTAGTGGGGTAATTAAGACTCCGCAACGGGTTTTGTTTATTTGGGAGCGAAGTGTGTCCGTGTATGCTGCTGCCGCCCTGCACAGATTTTGGCAGGCAGGCGGCCAGACAGAGTCAGAAGCTTGTCGATTTTTTGCTACTTCACGACTTCACAATATCAAGAAATATCAAGACACTACTTCACGTTTCCACTTTCATGAATGGTGAAACACAGCACTTGAAGAATGATTTGATCGACGCATTGAAGTTTGTAGCTGCAAAATGGTCCAATTAGGTAAGTGGTTCCATCACAAACCGTTTTGCAACCACAAACTTCAATGCATCGCCCAAATCATTCTTCAAGTATTATGTTTCACCATTTATGGAAGGGAATACGTGAGGTAGTGGTCCGATACTCACACACAAACTTGAGGCTTAAAGTTCGTAAAAACTATCTCGTTCAATATTGTCTATCTGTGATGTTTTTTCTTTCTTCCTTTCTTTCTTCCATTATTTTCATTTCCGAAAGCTTTTGTGTGAACAAAAGATGTCTGTGTGTGCTGCTGGTGACCTCCCGGGGAGGGTAAACACCAAGAAGGAACCCACCTTTTGAGGGCATCAGCAACATCATCCAGGGTGGTGGAAGCCTCGTCTCCCCCCACCCCTCCATCATGGTACCACCCCAGCAGCAGCTCTCCCCCTCCCTCCACCCAGTGCTCTAGCGCATACACCGCCACCGGGTGCGTGGCATTGGGGGCAGAGACGAGCGAGAGGGGCGCGCGGGAGAGCAGGGAGCCGTTGGTGGGGCTGAAGAGGTGGGCAGAGGCATGGGGGGCGATGAAGGCTGCAGCTGGGAAGAGAGTCGCGTTCACTATGACCAGTCCCGAGACCTTGTAGGCTGATGGGCGCAGACGAATCACCTGAAAGGAGAGGAGGGGTGTGAGGGAGAAAGAAGAGGAAAAAAGCGTGAGGGATACGGGTGAGAGAATGTGGGGTAGAGGGGTGTGGGAGAGAGGGGAGAGGGGAAAAGAGGAAAGAGGGAGAGCAGGGGAGGGGTAGGGGGGAGAGGGAGAGCAGGGAGCCGTTGGAGGGGCTGAAGAGGCGGGCAGAGACGTGGGGGGCGATGAAGGCTGCAGAGGGGAAGAGAGTGGCGTTCACTCGGACCAGTCCCGATACCCTGTAGGCTGATGGGCGCAGACGGATCACCTGAGGGGAGAAGAGGGGTGTGAGGGAGAAAGAAGAGGAGACAAGCGTGAGGGATACGGGTGAGAGAAAGTGGGGTAGAGGGGTGTGGGAGAGAGGGGCGTGGGAACAAGAGGAGAGAGGGAGGGCAGGGAGCCGTTGGTGGGCTGAAGAGGCGGGCAGAGGCGTGGGGGGCGATAAAGGCTGCAGAGGGGAAGAGGGATGCGTTCACTCGGACTAGTCCCGAGACCTTGTAGGCTGATGGGCGCAGACGAATCACCTGATGGGGAACAGGAGGGGTGCGAGGGGAAAGAAAAGGAGAAAAGCGTGAGGGGTGGAGAAGAAGTGGGGTAGAGGGGCATAGGAACAAGAGGAGAGAGAGAGAGCAGGGAGCCGTTGGTGGGGCCGAAGAGGCGGGCAGAGGCGTGGGGGGCGATAAAGGCTGCAGAGGGGAAGAGGGTGGCGTTCACTCTGACCAGTCCCGACACCCTGTAGGCTGATGGGCGCAGACGAATCACCTGGGGGGAGAAAGGTGGGCGGAGGGGCGGGTGCATGGGGGAAAGAGAGAGGAGTGGGGTAGTGGAGCGTGGGTGGGGAAGTGGGACATGAAATGTCGACTCAACAGTCATGAGGGCACTTGCAAGGGAAAAGCAGGCTTTCACGAAGGCAACCACAAGACAATGGATATGCTCCTTCGTTCGTCACATGGAAGGCGGGCACTAGACACGTTCGTCTCACCTTAAGTTCCTGTGTGTGGTAGTACACGCCCTCCCCCTCCCCGTACATGGCGCACGAGTCAGGGAAGCGCAGGCTGTAGCTGCCACTGGCCGCCACACACACGTGCTGCAGCCCCTTCTGCAGATGGGAGAGGGTTTACAAGCAAGCAGTGGCACAGGCACAGGCAGATTGGGGAAAAATTGTCAGAGGTGCACAGGTGTTGAGGGGAAAGAGCAGGCTGTAGCTGCCATTGTCAGATGTGCACACGTGCTGCCGCCCCTTCTGTACAACCACATGGGGAGAGGAAGGGTGATGGGGGAAAACGATTGTCAAAGGCGCAGAGGTGTTAATGAGGAAGCGCAGGCTGTAGCTGCCACACACACGTGCTGCAGCCCCTTCTGCACATAGAGAGATATATACAAGCAGGAACAGGCACAGGCAGGGGGATGGTGGAAGAACAGTCGGAGACGCATTAGCATTGAGGGGGAGAGAGGAGGCTGTAGCCACCCTTACCCTTCACCCTTCACCCTTCACCCTTCACCCTTCACCCTTCACCCTTCACCCTTCACCCTTCACCCTTCACCCTGCACCCTCCACCCACCCTCCACCCTCCACCCTCCACCCTCCACCCTCCACCCTCCACCCTCCACCCTCCACCTTCCACCCACCCTCCACACTCCACACTCCACCCTCCACCCTCTACTCACTCTAACCTAGCAAAAAACAACTGAAGGAATATCAAAATGCTTACCTTGAGCTTGACTGGCGGAAGAGCAGTCTCCCCGTGCACCATGCTGACAGTATCCTCCATCGCTGCATCGATCTCCACCCTCCATCCACTCTGCTCCAGCGCCACGCCCTCCACAGACGAATCGGAGACCGCCACGTCAACGGACTGCGTCTTCCAGCACCACTCGTCGCCCGCCATGTCACTCCCCTGGATCACCTGCTTGGATACCTGGTAAAGCGGGGAAAAGGGGGGGGGGGTTTGAAGGTTTTGGGAGGAGTGGGGCGAAGTACCAAAGTCCACTCGTCGCCCGCCATGTCACTCCCCTAAACCTGCTTGGATGCCTGGAGAGTGGTGGAGAGTAGCAGAGAGTGCACTTAATTTTGGGAGCAAACACTTTTCAAATACACGGAGAAAACATATGCACTCAAATTTCATAGTTTCAAGACTGGGTTGCCGTATGCTCTCACCTCGATTCTGTATTTCCCAGGAACCACTTTCTCAAACACAAACGACCAAAATCAAAACAAACGAGTGGGTTTTGCAGTGCCTCGAAATTCTCTCACTTCGATTCTGTATTTCCCCGGAACCACTTTCTCGAACACAAACGAGCCGTCCTTCCCCTTCAAGAACAGCGACCGCAGCGAGGCACCACCCGAAGCAGCAGCGGCAGCGCTAGCGGACTCAGCAGACCCAGTCAACGGTCCGATGCGCGTGAGGGAGACGCGGACGGAGCGATCGCAGCCGTCGATGCAGATCACGCGGCCGGACACGGAGAGATGCGATTGGTTGAAGGACACCCCTGTGACAGGCGCGGATGTGACTGTAACGGTGGCGACGGGCGGCGCAAACGCCAGCCCTGCTGCTGCCTCGGCTGGTAGCACGTGTGGGGCGAGCTGGTAGGTGCCTGGGGGGACCTGGAAGAGGGAGAAGAGAGGAGGTATGAGTGGAAGGAAAGCAGATGAGCTCACAAGACGGTGGCGAGGGCAGGCGCAAAAGGCCAGTCCTGCTGCTGCTTCAGCAGGCAGGACGTGTGGGGCGAGCTGGTAGGTGCCTGGGGGAACCTGGGGCGAGGGAATATGGGACTGAGACAGGGAACAAAAAGAACATGCGTGAGGACAAGCAAGGGGCAGCGCAAAGGCCAGCCCGGCTGCTGCCTCTGCTGGGAGCACCAACCCGTCAGCGCCACCTGTCTGCCACCCGCTTGGAACGCCGCCTGTCAACAGCCATTGAACCCACCATAAAGCAGACCTTTCCGTCCGCATCCGTCTTCTTGGCTTGAGGTGGCACCTCCTCCCCTCCCCTTCCAGTCAGCGCCACCTGTCTGCCGCCCGCTTGGAACGCCGATTGTCAAGAGCCATTGAGACACTCACCATGAAGCACACTCTCCCATCAGCATCCGTCTTCTTGGCCTGAGGCGACACCTCTCCTCCCCCTCCAGTCAGCACCACCTGCCTGCCGCCCACTTGGAACGAGTTACAGCAGCCATACGACTCAGTACACCCTCCCATCAGCATCCGTCTTCTTGGCTTGTGGTGACACCTCCTGCCCTCCCCCACCTGTCACTCCGCCGCCCGTCAGCACCACCTGTCTGCCGCCCACTTGGAACGCCGACTGTCAAGAGCCATTGAACTCACCATAAAGCAGACTATGAACTCACCATGAAGCACGCTTTCCCGTCAGCATCCGTCTTCTTGGCTTGTGATGTGACCCCCTCCCCTCCCCCTCCCGTCACTCCCCCACCCGTCAGCGCCACGTGTGTGCACATCGTGCTCATGCATGTGAACTCACCATGAAGCACACTCTCCCATCTGCATCCGACTTCTTGGCTTGTGGAGACACGTCAACTCCTCCCCCTCCCATCAGCGCCACCCGCTTGCTTGGAACGCCGCCTGTCAAGAGCCATCGAACTCACCATAAAGCAGACTTTCCCATCCGCATCCGTCTTCTTGGCTTGTGGGGAGACCCCCTCCCCTCCCCTTCCAGTCAGCGCCACCTGTCTGCCGCCCGCTTGGAACGCCGACCCCTCGTCCAATAGCGTCGCGACACACAGCTCGTAGTGCGAGGCGCGGAGAGGGGGTAGGAGGGAGGCGGAGGGGAGGATGGAGAGGGCGGGGAGGGGCGTGAAGGAGTAGCGTGGCTTGGTGGCGGATAGGGCGTACTGGCCCGATGTTATCTGGTGCAGGCTGTACTGACCCTGCTTGTTGGGCAGAGGAAAAAGGAAGGTTAACGGGAGGAGAAGGGGAGGAGAAGGGGAGGGAGGGAGGGGAGGAAGGGGAATGAGAGGGTGGTTCTTCCATGGCTTGGTGGCGGATAGGGCGTACTGGCCCGATGTTATCTGGTGCAGGCTGTACTGACCCTGCTTGTTGAGGGGGATGGGGAACGGGGGAAGCAGAGCGGGCTGGGAGGGGCGTGAAGGCGTAGCATGGCTTAGTGGCGGACAGGGCGTAGTGGGCTGATGTTATCTGGTGCAGGCTGTACTGACCCTGCTTGTTTGGGAGGGGTGGGAGGGGAGACAGGATTGAGTAAGCAAGGTAAGCAATGGCACAGGGTAGGGTGGCTACTGCAAGGCTTGGTGGCGGACAGGGCATACTGGCCCGATGTTATCTGGTGCAGGCTGTACTGACCCTGCTTGATGAAGGTTTGGGGGGAGTGGGAGGGGAAAAAGAGCAGGAGGGGAGAGGAAGTTTAACTACTGCAAGGCTTGGTGGCGGACAGGGCGTACTGGCCCGATGTTATCTGGAACAGGCTGTACTGACCCTGCTTGCAGCACCAGGTCAGCCGCACCGTTCCTGCTTGCAGCACCAGGTCACTACTAGCTATACTACCCGACCAGCCCATATTGCTTTTCCACCGCACTGCACCTGGGCATCTGTCACAGCACGTGGCTGGCTGTTGACCAGCACCAACCTGCTTGAAGACCCACACCACTACCACCAACTATACCGGCCTACACTGTTTTCCACCGCACTGCACCTGGGCGTCTGTGACAGCACGAGGCTGGCCGTTGAGGAGAACTGTTGCTCCCTCCACGCCCTCCCCTGCGCTGTCAACTGTTAAGCAGCAACAACCCACTACCAGCTCTACCAACCGCCCCACAATGCCCTCCCACCGCACTGCACCTCGGCGTCTGTGACAGCATGAGGCAGACAATTAAGCAGCACCAACCTGCTTGAAGACCCACACCACTAAAACCAACTATACTGGCCGACACTGTTTTACACCGCACTGCACCTGGGCGTCTGTGACAGCACGAGGCTGGCCATTGAGCAGCACTGTCGCTCCCTCAACGCCCTTCCCTGCGCTGTCCTCCACGCGTCCAGAAACAGAGAATCCGCGGACCTGCGAGTGGGAGAGGAGGGAGAGGGGAGGGATAGTTGCAATTCCTCTCTATTGCACCCTCCACGCCTTACCTGAAACGGAGATGTTACCTGGGTGCCATCTCAAACACCGTCGCCCATACAGTTGCTGTTTGGTGCTCACACGAGTAGAAGACAATGTCACGGGAAGGGGGAGGTGTTACCTGGAACAGCTCTGCAGCATCAGCATGCCCCACCGCCACTGCCATCTCAAACACCGTCTCCTGGAAAGTTGTTACTGAAAAGGAGTTTACCTGGGAAGGATTTACCTGGAACGGTTCTGCAGCAGTGGCATCAGCATGCCCCACCACCACCGCCATCTCCTTAGGCGCCATCTCAAACACCGTCGCCTCGCCCTTGTACTGCGGGACCAATGAGAACGCGCCACATGGCAACTCGCGGAAGGAGAACCGCCCATCTGCCCCGGAGGTCGTGTGGCAGAGAGGAGATTTTCCGGGCAGCGGAGAGCTGCCCGGCCCGGCCGGGCAGGTGGGAATTTTCTGGACGGAGTCGGAAAAAAGGAATATCTGCACTCCTGGGACCGGGTTTTTCTGTTCGTTAGGGGGAGGGAGGAATGGGGAAACGGAAAGGGTGCAGTGGAGTGGTGGAGTGGAGTTGGGTGGGATGGGATTGGAGAAGAGGAATATCTGCACTCCTGGGACTAAACAACATTTTTTACAAAGATTGAACCTAGTTGCTGCCACGTAAAGGCTATGGCTCCCGTCTGGGGTTCCATCGGAGAAGAGGAATATCTGAACTCCTGGGACTAAAATTGTTCCGTTGCACAGGAGGAAGAGGGGGAGGGGATGGAGGGGGGGGACGTGAGCTGGGGAAGGGGGGAGAGAACCACACAGAGGAAGCATGCAGAGAGGAAGCACACAGAGCACAAACGCACACAAGCGCCTTGGTCCGGGGGCGCGCCTTGGTCCGGGGGCGCGCCTTGGTCCGGGGGCGCGCCTTGGTCCGGGGGCGCGCCTTGGTCCGGGGGCGCGCCTTGGTCCGGGGGCGCGCCTTGGTCCGGGGGCGCGCCTTGGTCCGGGGGCGCGCCTTGGTCCGGGGGCGCGCCTTGGTCCGGGGGCGCGCCTTGGTCCGGGGGCGCGCCTTGGTCCGGGGGCGCGCCTTGGTCCGGGGGCGCGCCTTGGTCCGGGGGCGCGCCTTGGTCCGGGGGCGCGCCTTGGTCCGGGGGCATGCCTTGGTCCGGGGGCGCGCCTTGGTCCGGGGGCGCGCCTTGGTCCGGGGGCGCGCCTTGGTCCGGGGGCGCGCCTTGGTCCGGGGGCGCGCCTTGGTCCGGGGGCGCGCCTTGGTCCGGGGGCGCGCCTTGGTCCAGGGGCGCGCCTTGGTCCACGCGCGCATGCAACCGAGAGTGAACTACCCCACAGAACTGCATAGAACTGCACAAAACGAGTCCCCTCACCTGTGCTTCCACGGAGCCTGAGAGGCTGTAACCGGTTACTAGGAAAAGGTCCGAGAGCTCCATGCGGTCCCAGAGGCACACACGCAGTTGAGAGTGAACTACCCCACAGAACCGCACACAACCGCACAGAACCGCACACAACCAATTGGCTCACCTGAGCTTCCACGGAGCCTGAGAGGCTGTAACCGGTTACTTGGAAAAGGTCCGAGAGCTCCATGCTGCCCCAGCCCAAGTCCACCTTGGGATTGCCGAGCAGCTTGATGGGCCACGTGGGGTGAGAGGCAGAGAGGGTGTAGGTGCCTGGGGGGAGGGGGTGGAGAAGCGGGAGAAGAGAAAGTAGGAAGGGCAGGAAGAGGGTCGTACCAACAAGGAGAAAGAGGTACATCCGTGAGACGCCGCAATAACACTCTTGAGGGGAGGGGAGGGGAAGAGGATCAGGGTCATACCAACCAGCAAGTCGGAGAAGCGGAAAGCACCGCTCCCATCCGTCACTGCTGTCGCCACCACCTCTGCCGCCCCCTTGCCCTCCCCGCCCTTTGATATGATTCCTACAGGTAAATCAAGCACACAGCCTTTCTCACCAACCCGCAGGTCGGAGAAACGGAAAGCACCACTCCCATCCGTCACTGCAGTCGCCACCACCTCTCTCGCCCCCTTGCCCTCTCCCCCTTTTGATATGAGAATTCCTACAAGTAATTCAAGCACAGAGTCTTTCTTACCAACCAAAAGGCCAGAGAAGCGGAAGGCACCACTCGCATCCGTCACTGCAGTCGCCACCACCTCTGCCGCCCCCCTCCCTGGTGACTATTGAGCCAACTCAAAACGCGATGTGAATATTAGAGTCTTACCAACCAGCAGGTCGGAGAAGCGAAAGGCACCGCTCTCATCCGTCACTGCTGTTGCCACCGCCTCTGCCGCCCCCTTGCCCTCCCCGCCCTCACTGGCATTCTCACACAGCACACAGTCTTTCTTACCAACCAGCAGGTCGGAGAAACGGAAAGCACCACTCGCATCCGTCACTGCTGTTGCCACCACCACCTCTGCGGCCCCCATTCTGAGAATCCTCAAAAGCGATTCAAGCACAGGGCCTCACCAACAAGCAGGTCGGAGAAACGGAAAGCACCACTCTCATCCGTCACTGCAGTCGCCACCACCTCTGCCGGCCCCCTCCGCGGTGACTATTAAGCCAACACAAAACTCGAGGTGGAAAATTAGAGTCGTACCAACAAGCAGGTCGGAGTAGCGGAAAGCACCGCTCGCATCCGTCACTGCAGTCGCCACCACCACCAGTGCGGTGACTTCTGAGTCGAATCAAGAGTGGGTATGGCAGCAACGACGTACCAACCAGCAGGTCAGAGAAGCCGAAAGCACCACTCCTATCCGTCACTGCAGTCGCCACCCCCTTGGCTGTTCCCCCCCAGGGGTGACTTTTGAGCCAACTCAAAACTCGAGGTGGAAAATTAGAGTCGTACCAACAAGCAAGTCGGAGAAGCGAAAAGAACCGCTCCCATCCGTCACAGCAGTCGCCACCACCGCCGCCACCCCCTTGCCCTCTCCCCCCTCACTGCCAGCCCTCGTTACAGTCACAGTCACGCCAGCAGGACCCTTGGCCTGGGCGGCACAGGAGGGGCTGTCGGGTCCGAGCACCTTTCCAGCCAATCCGAAGCTGCCACGTAGGATGAGGGAGGGATGCAGAAGATCGGGAATGAACGGCTGGGATTGCAGCAGGACGGTCACATCACAAGCACAGCGCTCAATTGATTGTTACCCACCTTGCCATCCTTTCCCCCTTTCCCCTTTCCCCTTCCCCCTTCCTTACCCCCGATCGCCCCCCTTTCCCTTCCTTACCCCCGATCACCCCCGTTTCCCTCCTTATCCCCTTCCCTTAGGCGTATCCCCTCTATTCGCCCCCATTCCCTCCCTCACCCCTTGTGATGGAAATTGAGGTCCTTATTGCCATTGCACGCCTCCCCCTCAACTATCACCGACACACTATGTTCTACAGTTACCTTATCCCCTCTATTCGCCCCCAGTCCCTCCCTCACCCCTTGTGATGGAAGTTCACGTCCTTATTGCCATTGCACGCCTCTGAATCAACTGTCACTGACACTCTGTTCCCCCATACTCACTCTCCATCCTCTCCCATTCCCACCCGCTCACCCTTTGTGATGGAAGTTCACGTCCCTGTTGCCATTGCACGCCTCTGAATCAACTGTCACTGACACCTTTTCAGGCTCAAACGACCACCCAAGGGGCCCCCGCACTGCCAGCTCAAACGTTCCCTGTGATTATAACGCGGAAATGGGAGGGGCACGGGACACGGGGCACGGAGAAAGAACAGGACATAGCGCGTGTGTGGTTGTACCGGGAGATCACAGGGCGTGTTGCAATAGAAGATGCATGCACTCCAAAACTAGCGGCCCCTGCTCGGCCAGCTCAACGTGAGTCCCATGGGGGCAGTCGGCGCGGAAGCACGAGGAGCACGTTACCTCGGACACGTCACCTTGACACGTCACCTTGGACACGTCACCCTGGACACGTCAGTGCCCACTCACCTGGGTGTAGACCGGCAGGAAGTAGTAGCCATTAGGTGCGCAGTGTGCTTGCTGCGCTGCCCCATGCTCTCCCTGGGACCATCACCTTGGGACCATCACCTTGGGAATGTCCCGCATGACCCACCTGGGTGTAGACGGGCAGGAAGTAGTAGCCGTTGGGTGCGCAGTGTGCCTGCTCTTTCACCATGCCCTCCTGTGCTGTGACGCACGCACGGGTGTTGGACTAGGAGAGGAGGGAGGGACTCACCTGGGTGTAGACGGGCAGGAAGTAGTAGCCGTTGGGTGCGCAGTGCGCTTGCTCCTTCACCATGCCCTCCTGTGTGCGCAGCTCCACCTGCCAGCATGGGAGAGGCAAGAGAGGTGGCAGCAGGAGGAAGAGTGGGAGAGTGATGAATGTGGGATGGAAGGGTGGGCGTGGCAGCAGTACGCTTGCTCCTTCACCATACCACAGAACACCATACCATATTATGCCCCACCATAACACACAGAACCACACTGCACCGCACTGCACAGCACCGTACCACGAGGCGTGAGTAGTCGAGGGAGGCATCAGAGTCCGCACGCATGGAGGCGAGTTGCCTGCTGGCCTGGCGACGGTCAGAGGGAGGCGGGGAGGGATGAGGGGAGAGATGAGGACTGTGACTTTGAGAGGCGCGGGAAATGGGGGAGTATGCGAGCGACATTTCAGTCCACTCAAGCGTCACAGCGATGCGCGCGATGTGGGGAGAGCGCGGCGCGAGATCCTCGCATTCATATCATACGGTACTACCTTCCCGTGCCGAAAAGACTTCGCTAAATATGCAACGCAGAATAAAATCCGATCGGATTTGCAGATTGAGTGATCTTTCGCATTGGATCCTGATCCAATGCGATACACGCATTACAAATCGTGGCAATCCTTTGTCACCTACTGAGAAATGGCAATCCAAATACTCCAAGCATTACAAAGCGCGGCGCATATTACTCACTTACGAGCATATATTATCAACCTAACTGTTTCTTGAAACCGACTTACGAAATGACACGTCACTGACGAGTGTATTATGAGCCTACCTGGACGAAACCCCCGCATCCAATCACGTCCGCTGCCACGCCACTCTCTCCCAACTGCCACGTCAGCACGATGCTGACGACGGCAAAGCGGATCCACGCCGGCCAGATCCGCTCCGAAACTGCATCGCGCGACGCGGGACGCATCGCGAGTCGTTCGTTTGAAATTTGATCCTCGAGCCGGGTATCGCGCGTGCGACTGCGCTCTAGCCTTGGCCTGGACGTTGGATACGGCGCGGATCCCGGAAGATCTGACAATGCCTTCGCCGAAGCGCTTAAAAGAAGCAGGCCTGTCAGGATCTCGAATCGGATCAGAGTATCTGGTAAGAACATAAACAGGGGAAAGGGGGCACTGGAGGAGATTCGTGATGACTTTGTGAAACTGTACGCTTTAGTGGCAGCAAACTAAGACAGCATACAAATTCTTCAGCACCCGCTCTTAACTTGGATTCTATTAAATGTCTACCTGAAGGGCCATTTGATCGAATTATCATATTCAATGTATTATATGCCTGATTATCCAGTAAAATATGATGCATGGTCTACATGTGTCACATTCAGAAGTTCAGAATTACGATCAAATTGTTTTCAGAAGCAGCGTAGAAGTCGTTCCTTGTATAACGTGTAAAACATTTTTGGTGTAGTAAGTTTATTGATCAAATCACAACCATTCTGCACAACCACCTGACCACCATGCAGCACAAGGCTGGTTGCCAACACGTTTCTGACCCCGCCCGTGCAAAATTTTATTCTCTACAGTTCACACCTCGAACCTCACTCCAAGTTGTGGCAGACTGTTGAGGAGCAGGCGCTTCGAGGCGTAATCGTTTTGGATTGGCGAAAGCCACAGCGAGCAAGTGGCAGCCCTACTTCACAATAAATTGACTCCGTGCTGTGGAGCCGTATGCTGCTCTCCAATTCGACGAGTCGATAGCGCAGAAAAATGTTTCCAGTAAGGTGGGTAAGGGTCTCGTACGGTGCTGTGAGCTTCGAGCGAGGCCAGCTCAGCTCGTCGTGGTACACGAGTTGCCTTTCGCCAAAAGCGCACCTTTCGCAACCTAGGCCGCTCCATCGGCGAAACTCGTCACGGGGGTATCGGTTTCGATGACCTTGGTTACCGGCTCCCAAACTGGCCCAACCCACAACTCGTGCATCCTTTGAGACTCACGGAGTGATCCTCGCCGTCCAGCATCTCGATCTGCACGGTCAGTACGACCTCGATTCTGTTAGAGCACCCCGGCCTAGGAGATGTCATATCCTCCTGTCACGCAACCTCGAATTTTGCCATTTCTATGTCAGAGCCTCCTACTCTCGCCATTGTACCTCCACTGTGACGCAAACCCACTATCACTCTCTCCTTCCAGGTGATCTTTCTGACTGATCTTGCCAATGCCTGCAGGTCGAGTAGACTTGGAAACTACAATCTGCTTTACCCTTAGCAGGTAGTTTTACGGTAGTTTTTAGCAGCAGGTTATCCCACCTGCTTATTTCTCCGGGGTTCAAGGCCGTTTTGCCATAAATTTAACTGACAATGGACGTCACCCTTGTTGATTCTCGACCCCGGTCTCACCATTCCCGGGAGCCGGGACATCGCGTAGCGCAAATGAACGGTCCCGATGTCTCGGAACAACAGGAGAGCGTTCATCGTGCGGTGTCGCCTGTTCCTCCTCGGCCTGTCACCAAGACAAAAAAGTTCATCGACGAAGCCATTCCGACAGTTTCCAATTCGACCCGACGGTCCTGAATCCAACATCTGGGTCTCGGCTTCAGGCCGTAACTTATAGCCATCAGTCCGGTGCGAGTTCTCGTGTCGGAGGTAGAAACGAAGATGTTATTGTAGAGAATGAAGTCACGGAGGCTCCTAACGGTCATCGCCGACGGCATTCGGGAGACAATTCGTCTCCTGATTATTTGCAAGACCCGCAGCATTCTCCCGACGAAATGAAACACGCTCGACGACAATCTCCTGACGGATACAGCCATGACGCGTACAATACGCAGCCTCGTTCGAGACGACAATATTCGCCCCAAAAGTCGCCGTCATATGCGGAGCTAAATCATGGTGTTGGACAGGAGGTTAGACGTTCTCAGACAACCAATCAGCAATGGCCGGTAAAAACGCCTTATCCTGGATCCCCTGATTTAAGCAGCGAAGTTTCTTCCGGTAGAAGCAAAACCACCGACGGCTACAACAACCGCAGCAGCAGCATCGACGGCTACAACAACCGCAGCAGCGGCAGTCCTAGCAGGAGCGTAAACAGCAGCGTCAGTCGTGCCGGTGGAGGTGGGAACAGTAATTCCGGCTACAGTGGTGGTAACAGCGACATTACCTCGGCTGGTTACAGCAGTGGTTACGGCAATGTTACAGGCAACAGCACGGGTAACAGCATCAACAACACACCGATCTACGGCCAGCACGGAAGTAGCAGCTTCGGTGGTACTAGCAGCGCGGCTAGCGGGTACGCTTCTTCACAACTGAAACACCCGGCTGAGGTGAGCAGGCCTCCTAAGCCCATGGCGGCTCGACACCGCCGGATCCGCTCCGAGGAGTTTGTCATCGCCGCGTTTTCCGCTGCCGACGCGACCGACGACTTTCAAGGCTCCCCTGCAACGAACGCTGCTGCGTATCGCGGCGCGCCAGAGGCGATTAAAGCCAGCGGCTCGAGGAGCAAGCAGCCCCCGCAAGCGCATCCCCCGCGAAGTAAACCTCAGGAATGGCCGCCCGCTGCGGGGGCTGGACCGACCGGCCGAAGCAACCGGCCAGCGGCGGCTAGCAGTGAGCAGACTGACGGTCCGGCAGGTTGGAGCCCAGTTCCCAGACATGCGATTCCGGAGGGGAACAGGACGAGACGTGAGGGGGAGGGGCCGGAAATCATCGGCGCGCTTAAGCAGGGGCATAGGCGGAGCCAAAGCGGCGGTCCTGGAGGTGTGGGAGGGGGCATAGCAGGAGAGAATCGCCGGCAAGCCAGCCCCCAACGGCGGCCGTCAGCCGTCAGCAATTATTCTGACGGTCCGTCAGGAAGGCCGGGCAGCGCATCGCGAAATGCCAGCCCCGACGAGCGAAGACGGCGGGAAGAGGGGGACACAAGCCATGGGGTGCGGAAGGTTGCAGCCTTGGGGAATGGTGAGGGGAGCGGGGGGGAGAGAAGGAGCGGCAGTTATGGGGAGAGGGCGCGGGGTGGCATAAGAAGCCCTGCTGATGATGAGTACGATGGGGAGGCGGAAGATGTGCGGGGAAGGCGGGTGCGCAGCAGCGGAGGGGGAGCAGGCGGGGGAACGGGCGGGGGAGCAGGAGGGGGAGCAGGTGGGGAGTTCGGTGCGGGAGTGGTAGAGGGAGCGGCCATCTGGGATAGGCGACAGGCTCGAGCCAGCAGCAGTGGTAAGGAGCGACAGCAGCAGCAGCAGCAGCAGCTGCAGCAAGGGACCCAGCAGCACTCCCCTCCTCGCCATGACCACCAGCAGCAGCAGGCAGCGCAGCCATCGCAGCAGCCGCTGCCACCCCTGGGAATACCCACTGTCAGGCGCAATTCGCGCTCTTATGACGGCGGCCCCTTAGACCTGAGGCGCTCCGTCAAAACCCCCCCTAGGAGCCCCGTGCTGTCCCATTTGGGCGGCGCAGGCGCAACAGGCGCAGCAGGCGGAGCAGGCGGAGCGGCAGGGGGAGGAACAGGGGGAGCAGGGGGGCGGGGGGTTTCCGCCTATGGAAGCCCCTTGCGCAGCAGGCAAGGGGGGCAAATCGCGTCCCAAGGCGCGCAGAGGGGCACTACAGCAGGCGCAGGGGGATATGCGGGCGGAATGGGGGGAGGGGGAGTTGCGCCTTCAGGGGCAAATCCTGTCCGCCCTAGCCCCGGGTGGCTGGCGGGCGCACCTGGGGGAGGGGCAAGCGGGGCAGGGGCAGGGGGAGGGGCAAGTGGCGCAGGGGGAGGCGCGGCGGGGGGTATGCCTGTTAAGAAAAAGATGGGCCATAGGAGGTCCGCTAGCTGTGAGGCCTGGTTCAATCCAGAAGCGGGCTTTAATCCCCATATGAGCGGCTTTAATTCCCCTGCTGGCGCCTCTAGTCCGCAAATTGGCGGCTCTAATATTCCAGGAAGGGGTTCCCCTGGAGGGGTTTCCCAAGGTTCCCCCGGAGGAGGCATGAGCGGAAGCCCCCCAGGAGGCGGGGGAAGCTCCTATGCTGGTCCCCCCCGCGCTGGGGGAATGCGGATGGGGGGAGTACCCGGGGGAGTGACCAGAGGAGGGGGGAGAGGTGGGGGAGGAGGCGGAGGAGCAGGAGGGGGAACGGAGAAGGAAGAAAGGGAGGTGTATACCCCAGGCGGGGGAGGGAGAACAGAGGTTGGGGAAATCCCTGTAGGAAGGTCAAATGCAGTGCCACTCCAAAGCCCACACAAGCCCAAAATCGTCCTACCATCTACCAGCCCCCTCGCCAGCCCCTATGCTAGCCCTTTCGCCAGCCCACGCATGGCATCCCCGTTAGTAGGCTCCCCGCTAGTAGGCTCCCCGTTACCAGGCTCCCCAATGCTGCCCCAAATGGGCTCCCGAACCGGATTTATGACTCCCGGGGCTATGACGCCTGGTGGGGGGAGCGTGGTGGCTAGCCCCGGTACCTTGGCTGCGCAGGAGGATCGGGACCAAGCCAAACTGGCCGAAATCCAGAGCATGTTTGCCAATTGGAATCACGGAACGCCGATCCCGTCCCCCAGGGCTGGAGCCTCGGCTCGGGCCGAAGCTGGCTTCCCGCTTCGGACGCCCCAGCCTAGCGACTACTACCGGATCGGGGGAGGGGAGACGGAGGGGGGAGAGGGGATGGGAGAGGAGGAAGCTGCTGAGGAGCAAGGGCCGACTCGTGCGAATGTGTTGGGGAAGCCTTATGAGGATATCAGAAAGAAGTATAAACTAGCTGAGAAGGAGCTAGGGCGGGGGAACTTTGGAGTGATTCATGTGGGGGAGAACTTGCAGACTGGAGAGCAGTTTGCATGCAAGAGCATCACCAAGGCCAAGTTTGAGGTGAGGAGAGACTGTGGCATGTTGTGAAGGGGAGTATGGGCCTGTATAGACTGGGGAGAGCAGTTTGCATGCAAGCGCATCACGAAGGCTAAATTCGAGGTGAGGAGATGTTTGATTCCGAGGTTTGAGAAGCTGTTTGCCTGCAAGTATATCACAGGCGCCAATTTTCGCGGTGAGCGTTTGTTGCTTGCTTTGTTGCTCGATTTGTTGCTGCTTGTTTTGTTGCTCCGTTCGTTATAGGCACAAAAACCTCCTCTGCTATAGTCTTGCTGAACGAGGAACTCGAGAAGGGGATTTCCTGGTACAATCCAAGTGGCAGGAAAATCTAAACATTTCGGCTTGCCCTCGCTCCGTTTGTTATAGGCACACTCCCCCACTATAGTCTGGTTGAACAAGGGAAGGGGATTTTGGAGAATGTCCAAAATAATGTGGCTGGCAGGGGAACTTGGGATAATGTGGATCCGTCCGTTTGTATGACAGCTTATCATCAATAGAAACCACTTCTTTTCATCGATAGTAACCACTGCTTATCTTCAAGACTGCTTGACGAAACACCTGCAGGGGTACGCTGTGCAACATCGACTTGTGCACCCCAGCCCTCCCACCCACGACACTCCCTCCTTTCTCCCTGTGCTGGGAACACTTGGACAACTCAATCCCCGATGCCCCCACTGCTCTCTTTACCCCCTCTGTTTCCCCAGTGTTGGGACGATGTGGAGGACGTGCGGAGGGAGGTTAGCGTGCTCGAGGCGCTAAGGGGCCATCCCTTTGTGGTGTCGATTGTTGAGACGATGGAAGATGAGGAGGTGAGTGTGCGGTGTTGGGGGTTGACTCGGACTTGCCGTGAAACCCACCTACAGTGACGCTCAGAGGCCACCCCTTTGTGGTGTCGATTGTTGAGACGATGGAAGATGAGAAGGTGAGAGTGGGCACAATGTGATTGGGCACATTGTGATTGGGCACATTGTGATTGGGCACATTGTGAAGTCAAGTTTAAAATTTTCCAACAGCAAATCTCATGCTAAGTTATGAGGGACCACTACATCACAGCTTATGCTCACCTGCTCACTTTTGAGTCGACTCAAAACAATGAAGTCAAGTTTGAATTCTTTTTCCAATAGCAAAGCTTATGCTAAGTTATGAGGGACCACTACATCACAGCTTATGCTCACTTGCTCACAATGTGCCAACCTAATCGTACAGTGAGCAAGTGAGCAGGAGCTCTGCGCACACTCACCTGTTTGCACATTGTGAGTGACCACTACCACAGCTCATACTCACTTGCTCGATCGCAAGCACTACGGGGAGAGGCAGGCGGGCAGGCTGCCAGGCAGGCAGTACAAGTTAAGTCTCACCCTCTGCTCCCCCTTCCCCAACCCCTCACCAGGAGGTGCACATAGTGATGGAGCTGTGTGCAAGGGGGGGAAGCTGTTCGATCGCACTCTCGAGCGCAAGTACTACGGGGAGAGGCAGGCAAACGGACGGGCAGGCAGGCAGGCAGCATGTGTAATCCCTCCAACTATCCTCCCTCTCTCATGCCCTGCTCATCACATGAGGTGCACATAGTGATGGAGCTGTGTGCGGGAGGCGAGCTCTTTGACCGAATCCTAGACCGCAAGTACTACGGGGAGAGGCAGGCAGGCATGCAGGCGGGCAGACAGGCAGGCAGGCAGCGTGTATAATCCCTCCAATTATCCTCTCCCTCTCATGCCCTGCTCATCACAGGAGGTGCACATAGTGATGAAGCTGTGCGCGGGAGGGGAGCTGTTCGATCCCATTCTAGTCCGCAAGTACTACAGGGAGAGGCAGGGCGACGGGCAGGCAGCATGTGTAATCCCTCCAACTATCCTTTCTCTCTCATGCCCTGCTCATCACAGGAGGTGCACACACATAGTGATGGAGCTGTGTGCGGGAGGAGAGCTGTTCGATCGCACTCTCGAACGCAAGTACTACGGGGAGAGGCAGGCAAACGGACGGGCAGGCAGGCAGGCAGCATGTGTAATCCCTCCAACTATCCTCCCTCTCTCATGCCCTGCTCATCACAGGAGGTGCACATAGTGATGGAGCTGTGCAGTGGGGGAGAGCTGTTCGATCGCATTCTAGACCGCAAGTACTACGGGGAGAGGCAGGCCGCGCGGGTCATTCGCTCCGTGGTGGAGGTTCTGGCCTTCTGCCAAGCGAGAGGGATTGTTTGTGGTCCGTGTTTTTGACACGCCTCAGAAGCAGGCAGCTCGGGTCATTCCCTCCTTCTCTCCCCCCCCTCCTCCCCCTCCCCCCCCCCCTCTCTCTTCCCCCTTTCCCACACACACCAGGAGGTGCACATAGTGATGGAGCTGTGTGCGGGAGGCGAGCTCTTCGATCGCATTCTCGATCGCAAGTACTACGGGGAGAGGCAGGCCGCGCGGGTCATTCGCTCCGTGGTGGAGGTTCTGGCCTTCTGCCAGGCGCGGGGGATCGTGCACCGCGACTTAAAGCCCGAGAACATTCTGCTCGTGTCGAAGCGGAGCGACACAAGGGTCAAAGTGATTGATTTCGGCATGGCGAGCATCCTGAAACCGGGTATGTTCTGCAGTTATTTCTATTAAACCGGGAGCTGTGTGCGATTTTTTAGGGTCCTGACCGGCTACATTCTGCTGGTGTCGAAGCGGAGCGATACAAGGGTCAAAGTGATTGATTTTGGCATGGCGAGCATCCTGAAACCGGGTAAGTTCGGTGATTCCCCTGGTTCTCGTGGCACAGCATGCGGGTACTGTACATATTCTCTTGATTATCATGAGCACTGAGGCATTCTGCTCATGTCGAAGGAAGTGCGATCCGCGTGTTAAAGTGGTTTATTTCGACATGGCATGCATATTGAAATGGCATCTGCGGGTATCTGTGTGTGTTTGCCTGCCTACATCCCAAGCTGGTGCATACACAAAGTGACTTTTGAGTCGACTCAAAAGGCATGGCATGCATATTGAAACCGGGTATCTGTGTGTGTTTGCCTACATCCCAAGCTGGTGCATACACCCCTTCCTCCCTCCCTCCCTCCCTCCCTCCCTCCCTCCCTCCCTCCCTCCCTTCCTCCCTCCCTCCCTCACTCACTCACTCACTCACTCACTCACTCACTCCCTTCCTCCCTCCCTCACTCCCACCCTCCCTCCCTCCTTCCCTCACTCCCTCCCTCACTCCCACCCTCCCTCCCTGCCTCCCTCACTCCCTCCCTCCAGGCGAGCGCTGCAAGCTGAGAGCAGGCACGCCCAACTACATTGCTCCTTTCTCCATTCACCCTTCTCTCCCCCAGGCGAGCGCTGCAAGCTGCGTGCGGGGACTCCGAACTACATCGCGCCGGAGGTGATAGCCAAGAACTATGGTCCTTCCCGTTCTCTCTCCCTCCATCCCGTCCTCCCCAGGCGAGCGCTGCAAGCTGCGTGCCGGCACGCCCAACTACATTGCTCCCGAGGTGATAGCCAAGAACTACGGCGCGGAGGCGGACGTGTGGAGCGCGGGGGTGATCCTGTACGTGCTGCTGTGCGGGCTGCCTCTTCTCCTTCCCCATTCACCCTTCTCTCCCCCAGGCGAGAGGTGCAAGCTGCGTGCAGGAACGCCAAACTACATTGCTCCCGAGGTGATAGCCAAGAACTACGGCGCGGAGGCGGACGTGTGGAGCGCGGGGGTGATCCTGTACGTGCTGCTGTGCGGGCTGCCTTGTCCCACCTCTTCTCCTTCCCCATTCACCCTTCTCTCCCCCAGGCGAGAGGTGCAAGCTGCGTGCAGGAACGCCAAACTACATTGCTCCCGAGGTGATAGCCAAGAACTACGGCGCGGAGGCGGACGTGTGGAGCGCGGGGGTGATCCTGTACGTGCTGCTGTGCGGGCTGCCTTGTCCCACCTCTTCTCCTTCCCCATTCACCCTTCTCTCCCCCAGGCGAGAGGTGCAAGCTGCGTGCAGGAACGCCAAACTACATTGCTCCCGAGGTGATAGCCAAGAACTACGGCGCGGAGGCGGACGTGTGGAGCGCGGGGGTGATCCTGTACGTGCTGCTGTGCGGGCTGCCGCCCTTCTGGGGGGACACCACAGAGGACGTCTTCAAGAGCATCCTGTGGCAGGAGCTCGACTTCGAGACGGACCCCTGGCCGGTCGTTAGTACCGCTGCCAAGGACTTGGTCAGGCGCATGCTGTGCCGGAAATACGAGCGAAGGATTACAGTGGCCGAGATTCTAAGTAAGTCATTCCTTCCTGGGCTCCTCAGTACGAAGTAAAGGTTGTGGCCTGTTGTGAGCACCGCTGCCAAGGACCTGGTCAGGCGCATGCTGTGCCGGAAGTATGGGAGAAGGATTACAGTGGCCGAAATTCGCGGGTTGGGTGGGCTCTATGCTTCTGTGGGGGAAATCGGGGGTGGGATCGGCCTGGGAAACCCAGGAGGGGGGGGGGGGGTGTTAAGACACCACCGAGGACGTCTTCAAGAGCATCCTGTGGCAGGAGCTCGACTTTGAGACCGACCCATGGCCGGTTGTGAGCACGGCTGCTAAGGACTTGGTGTGAAGGATGCTGTGCCGGAAGTATGAGCGCAGGATTACTGTCGCCGAGATTCTGAGTAAGTCATTCCTTCCTGGGCTCCCCAGTAAGCAGTAAAGGGTGAGGTCAGCACGGCTGCCAAGGACTTGGTGCGAAGGATGCTGTGCCGCAAGTACGAGCGAAGGATTACAGTTGCCGAGATTCTGAGTAAGTCCGGGAGAAATCTGGGGCTGAACCGGCCTGGGAAACCTAACCCAACTGAACCAAATCGAACCTAACCGAACCAAATCGCACAGAATCACCGAGGACGTGTTGAAGAGCATCCTGTGGCAGGAGCTTGACTTTGAAACGGACCCATGACCCGTCGTCAGCACCGCTGCCAAGGACCTGGTCAGACGCATGCTGTGCCGGAAATATGAGAGAAGGATTACCGTCGCCGAGATTGTGAGTAAGTCATTCCTTCCTGGGCTCCTCAGTAAGCAGGAGAGGGTGTGGCCCGTTGTCAGCAGCACCGCTGCCAAGGACTGGGTCAGACGCATGCTGTGCCGCAAGTACGAAAGGCGCATTACGGTGGCCGAGATTCTGAGTAAGTCCGGGACAAATCTGGGGCTGAATCGGCCTGGGAAACCTAGCCCAACCGAACCAAACCGCAAAGAACCACAGAGGAGAAGGGCTCTGGCCCGCCCCATCAGCACCGCTGCCAAGGCCTGGTGCACCGCATGCTCTGCCTGCCACTCACGTGTGGCAGGAGTGGTAAGGTAAACCCCGACTCTTAAGCGACCAACCACAATCCTCACACATGACCGGCTCCTCTCCTCAGAAGCTTTGCACGAACAAAGCCGTTGCAGCTTCTGGTCGCATCCCTCTCTTCGCCCTCCTGTATCCCCTGTTCTCTCTGCTTTCCTCCCTCCCTGTCTTTTTCTCGTTTCTAGCTTGTTCTGCTTCCCTCCCCCGTCTCCACCTCTTGTTACCACTTTCAGAATCTCTCACTTCCCCTTCGTTTCCTCTTCATTATGTCTGTCCTTCCCGCTTGCATTCACTCTCCCATTCCCTCTTTCATTCGCTCTCACCTTTCCTCTCTCATTCCCTTTTCCATTCCTTCTCCCCTTCCCTTTCTCGCTCCCTCTCTGCGATCCAAACAGAGCACCCATGGATTAAGGCGCTAACTTAACGGGCAACAGGGAGTGATGTGAATGGGAATGTGAATGGGAAATCAGGGAGTTTCTAGCCATTTTAAAACCATGGAAGGAGGATGTTTGAGCAGTGGCAGGTTCGCTTCTATTGCTACCCACGCACCTTAATTGGGTTCTCTAAAGCAAGAGTGGCATCGCTGGCAGTAGCAGCACCACTGCAGTGCACGCAAGGCAGCTGCACTAGTGTCAGTGCGTTAGTCGCAGTGCTATCAGCAGTAGCAGTACACTTGCACACGAGACTGCAGCAGTAGCAGCACAAGCAGCAACGCGGTAGCAGATTCTTTTTTAGAATTTTCAAGAGCAGCCATCAGCACCCGAGCACAAGAGGCTGCAGCAGTAGCAGCGCTGCAGCGGCGGCTGCACAAGCAGAATCCAATACTGCCAAAGCTGTCAACCTCAGTAGCGCCCCTTTTTCTTCTGTCAGCCCCATTATCCATGGCTTGGCTTCCCTTTTGAGACGTTTCAAAACTTGTGGAGCTCGTTGGTGCCCCTCGTCTCAAACTGTCAGCACCACCGTCTATGGTTTCCATTCTACCTGCTTTCAAACCCGAAGCCCGAGGCTGATAATGCTGAGTTCTATTTCATCTGCAATATCATATCATCACCGCCCATTCTATCTCACCACAATCTGCCATCTCACCATCCAATATGCCATCCCATCCGCACCATCCAATATGTGTCAAACATATATGCTGCATATTTTCTAGGCTGTAGTGGGGTAGCCCATATGGGGTACAGCCCAATTAGGGTTTACTACTTGTACTCCTGCATGCTGCTAGTTCATCCATTCCTGCTGCTAGATTCTGACATGGTTTCAGAGCACTAAGGTCCGTAGGACCGTTTTTTTTTCGGGCCCACCTACCGCTGCGGTTACCGCGCTACCCCACGTACCTGCCTGCCTTGCCTTGCCTTGTGCCGTGCTGCACTATGTGCGCCGTCCAGCAGCCCTAGCGCTGCCTCCTGCTGCCCTAGGCCAGCGCGCTGCCCCTAGAGGCCCGTAAGGCCCACGCGCCGCCCCTAGAGGCCCGTAAGGCCCGCGCAGCCCGCTGCAGCCGCGCGCAGCCCGCACAGAGCCCGCGCAGCCCGCGCCGAGCCGCGCGCAGCCCGCTGCAGCCGCGCGCAGCCCGCACAGAGCCCACGCAGCCCGCGCCGAGCCGCGCACAGCCCGCTGCAGCCGCGCGCAGCCCGCACCGAGCCGCGCGCAGCCCGCTGCAGCCGCGCGCAGCCCGCAGCTGCCGCGCGCAGCCCGCGCCGAGCCCACGCAGCCCGCGTCGAGCCGCGCGCGGCCTGCTACGGCCTCGCGAGGCCCGCGCGCGGCCCGCAGCAGCCCGCGCCGAGCCGCGCGCGGCCTGCTACTGCCTCGCGCGGCCCGCGCGCGGCCCGCAACAGCCCGCGCCGAGCCGCGCGCGGCCCGCTACTGCCTAGCGCGGCCGCGCGCGGCCTGCAGCAGCTCAGCGCGCTGTCAGCGCAGCCCGCGCCGAGCCGCGCGCGGCCCTCTGCCTCGGCCACGACCTGCCGCTGATGCGGACCCGCCCTGCAGCTACCACGGCCCCGACCTGCCGCTGATGCGGCCCCGCCCTGCAGCTGCCACGGCCCCGACCTGCCGCTGACGCGGCCCCACCCTGCTACTGCCGCTGAAGCGGCCCCGCCCTGCAGCTGCTTCGGCCCTGCTCTGCAGCCGGTTTTGCGGCCCCGACGCCGCCGCTGTCGTGCGCCTACTCGGCCGCCGCCCGTCGAGCGCCGGCCCTGCTCGCCCGGTGAGCGCCTGCTCTCCCAGCCTTTGGTGAGCGCCTGCCTGCCTGCCTGACGGCCTGCCTGTCTGCCTGCCTGCCTGCCGGCCTGGCTGCCTGCCTGCCTGCCGGCCTGCCTGCCTGCCTGCCTGCCTGCCTGCCTGCCTGCCAGCCTGCCTGCCTGCCTGCCTGCCTGCCTGCCTGCCTGCCTGCCTGCCGGCCTGCCTGTCTGTCTGCTTGCCTGCCTGCCTGCCTGCCTGTCTGCCTGCCTGCCTGCCTGCCTGGCTGCCTGCCTGCCTGCCTGCCTGCCTGCCTGCTTGCTTGCCTGCCTGCCGCGCCTGCCTTGCCCGCGCTACTGCTGCTGCTACTGCTACTGGCAGGTGGCCAGATGCAGCTCCAGCGACGTTCACGCGAGCCTCTGACGCCCCAGCAGCTTAGTGAGTGGTATACTAGCTGGGGTTGTCGCAGTAGCCGTCGTAGCTGTCGCCCTGGAGCTGGTCAGTTGGGAGCGTCTGGCAGTGGCCAGCTGCAGCTGCAGGGGCGTCCACGTGAGACACTTACGCCTCGGCAGCTCCAGGAGTGGTACGCTCAGTGTAGCAGGTCTACGCGTACAGTTCGCTGCCCGTACGTCATTCGCACAGGTGCTAGGACTGGTCAGCCTTGTGGGACGCTTGGTCACACACAGTCCCGCTGCTTCGCCCGTCTGAGCGACGACTGGCGCACAGTGTTTGGCGACGAGGCTGAGCTCCCCACCTGGCTGGAGCTGCATGGACAGAGGGTAGATATCTTTGCGCTTGACTATGATGCTATTCTCACTGCCATGTATGCATTGCCTACTAGTGCTGATCGTGCCTGTTCTCTGTGCGTACCGCCTGACCCTGGTGAGGCTGCTGCTCTAGGTGCTAGTGCGTCTCCTGCTCTAGGTGCTGGTGAGGCTGCTGCTCTCGGTGCTAGTACGTCTACTGCTCTAGGTACTGGTGAGGCCGTGGCTTCAGGTGCTGGTGAGTCTGCTCTCTCTGGTACTGCGCCCACTACGGTCTCGCACACCTTCACCCTTGACTCAGGAGCTTCTCGCTCCTTCTTTCGCGACTGCACCACACTCACGCCGCTTAGTCGGCCAGTTCCAGTCTCCCTGGCGGACCCCTCCGGGGGTCCGGTCCTTGCCCACTACTCCACGGTTCTGCCGTGTCCGGCCGTCCCGTCCGGCTCGCTGTCAGGTCTTTACCTCCCCTCGTTCTCTACGAACTTGGTGAGTGGAGCTGACCTCCAAGATCGGGCGGTTGACCCATTCACTCCTGCGAGTCAGCGAGTGACTCACTGTACGTGTGCTAGGACGGGCCGGCACTTGGCCACGTTCACCCGTGCACCTGGCTCGAGTCTGTACACACTGACCACTGAGTCCCCTCAGGTAGCTGCGTCTGCGTCTACGTCTGGTCAGCTGGCGGCCCCCTGCGAGTGTCGCGCTTTGTCGCACGACACTCTCCTGTGGCACCACCGTCTTGGTCACCCCTCCTTGCCTCGCCTGCGTAGCATGCACTCTCGCTCCCTGGTCTCTGGTCTTCCCAGGTCTCTGCCTGCCCTCCCTCCCTCACCTGCGCCGCCCTGCATTCCTTGCGTCGAGGGGCGGCAGCGCGCCGCTCCTCACTCCTCCTCGTTTCCTCCCACAGAGGCTCCACTGCAGACGCTCCACCTGGACGTGTGGGGCCCAGCCCGCGTCCAGGGACAGGGCCGCGAGCGGTACTTCCTGCTGGTTGTCGACGACTACACGCGTTACACCACGGTCTTCCCCTTGCAGAGCAAGGGGGACGTCCCTGATGTTTTGATCCCTTGGATCCGCGCTGTTCGTCTCCAGCTCCACGAGCGGTTCCGGCGGGACTTTCCTGTCCTGCGTCTGCACTCTGACAGAGGTGGTGAGTTCTCCTCTGACCTCTTGGCAGCCTACTGTGCGGAGCACGGCATCACCCAGTCGTTCACGCTTCCGGCCTCTCCACAGCAGAATGGGGTTGCTGAGCGTCGCATTGGCTTAGTCATGGAGGTCGCTCGTACCTCCATGATCCATGCGGCTGCCCCCCATTTCCTGTGGCCGTTTGCGGTCCGGTACGCCGCGCATCAGCTCAACCTCTGGCCCCGTGTCTCCTTGCCGGAGACCTCGCCCACACTGCTGTGGACGGGGAAGGTTGGTGATGCGTCGCGTTTCCGGGTCTGGGGTGCTCGTGCCTTTGTCCGCGATACCACTGCGGACAAGCTCTCCGCCCGCGCTGTTCCCTGTGTCTTCCTTGGCTTTGTCCCTGACGCGCCTGGTTGGCAGTTTTACCATCCCACCTCGCGCCGTGTCTTTGCGTCTCAGGACGTCACGTTCGACGAGTCGGTTCCCTTTTACCGTCTCTTCCCCTACCGCACTGCCCCGCTCCCCCCCCCGCCGCTCTTCCTCGCTCCAGGTGCTCCCCAGGTAGACCCCCTCCCCACTCCTGGTCCTGCTCCTTCAGGTGTTTCTCAGGTAGACCCTCCTCCCTTGACTGCGCCGGTTGAGGTCACTGGTGACTCAGGTCCTACTGAGGGTGGTCCTTCTCGGGGTGCTACTTCTAGGGGTGCTGAGCCTGGGGGTGCGGAGCCTGGGGGTGCTGAGCCTGGGGGTGCTGAGCCTGAGGGTGCGGAGCTTGAGGGTGTGGAGCCTGGTGGTGCTGAGCCTGAGTGTGAGGGGTCTGGGGGTGCTGAGCTTGGCGGTACTGACGCTGGAGGTTCTGGAGCTACTGAGGGTGCTGGCGCTGGAGGTTCGGGAGCTGCTGGAGGGCCTAGTACTGGTGGCGCTGGAGCTGGAGGTTCTGGAGCTGCTGAGGGTGCTCGTGCTGGAGGTTCTGGAGCCGCTGGAGGTACTGGTGCTGAGGGTACTGACACCGGAGGTTCTGGAGCCGTTGGGGGTGCGGGCGCTGAGGGTTCTGAGTCTGCTGTTGCGCGGTCTCCTTGGAGTAGCCGCCTTCGTCCACGTGTGCCTCTCACCCCACAGCAGCTGCAGGACTGGTACGGTCGCCGTCAGCGTCGCGCTGCTGGAGCTAGGAGTCGTGCTGGTCCTTTGTCTACTGGAGGTGCTGGAGTCGCTGGTTCTGGAGGTGCTCGTGCTGGAGACACTGAGGCTGGAGACCCTGGGACTGGAGGTGCTGGTTCTGGGGGTGCTGCTGCTGGAGACACTGAGGCTGGAGACCCTGGGACTGGAGGTGCTGGGTCTGGGGGTGCTGCTGCTGGAGACACAGAGGTTGGAGACCCTGGGACTGGGGGTGTCGGCTCTGGGACTGGAGCTTCTGGAGCTGCTGGAGGTACGGGAGCTGCTGGAGGTACGGGAGCTGCTGGAGGTACTGGAGCTGCTGGAGGCACTGGAGCTGCTGGAGCTGCCGGTACTGGTGCAGCTGCGCCGACACGACTGTTCTTCGCTCCGCCGTCTCCGTCGTCTCTACCGCCGCCTGACTCTGCTCTTCGTCAGGTTGTTACTCTCCCGTCGTCTACTGGTCTTCCGTTACAGACTGGCTCACCGCTACCTGCTCCCTCTCCTTACACTGAGCCGACAGGCAGTCCTGCTACGCGTCGTGAGCCTGCGTCGCGTCCTGTCTCGCCTGTTCGTTCTGGTCGTACCGTTCGTCGTGTCGCTCGTGCGCGTCAGCCGGCTGTCCCCAGCGCACACCTTGTTGTCCGTCGTCCTTCCTCTGCTCCGCAGCCTGTTCCTCTACCGTCTCCCCCTGCGTCCTCTCTGCCTGCCGTTCCGGACCCTGAGTCTGACCGGTTTCGTACTGAGCACCCTACTGTCACGCGTCTCCTAGCCACTGTTGTCACTGACCCGTCGTTTGAGTCTACTGCTGCGTCTGCCTTGGTCGCTGAGCTTGTTGACTTTGCTGCTGCCTGTCGTCTAGACTACGCCGCTAGTCTTGTTGCTGGGTCTGAGTCTGTCTGTCCTCCGTCCGTCGGGGGTGAGTGTGCTCTTAGCACGGACGTCCTTGAGGACAGGCAGGAGGAGTTCCAGTGTCTTGCTGCTGCTTTACCTCATCTTGTGTCCTCGCTACTTGCCCCTGAGGGAGACCCGGATGCACCAGACATCCCGACTCCACGCTCTTACGCAGAGGCGATAGAGGGTCCCTACTCCTCTCAGTGGCAGGCAGCCATGGACGCAGAGATGGCTTCCTGGAAGTCCACAGGCACCTACGTTGACGAGGTTCCCCCACCTGGGGCGAACATCGTCAGTGGCATGTGGATTTTCAGGGTGAAGCGGCCGCCTGGTTCTCCGCCTGTCTTCAAGGCGCGTTACGTGGCTCGAGGCTTCAGTCAGCGAGAGGGAGTTGACTTCTTCCAGACCTTCTCCCCCACCCCGAAGATGACCACTCTTCGGGTGCTGCTGCATGTTGCTGCTCACCGTGACTACGAGCTTCACTCTCTTGACTTCAGCACAGCTTTCTTGCAGGGCAGCCTGCACGAGGAGATCTGGCTGCGTCGCCCCCCGGGCTTCACTGGGTCGTTCCCTCCTGGCACCCAGTGGAGCCTCCGGCGGCCAGTCTACGGTCTCCGCCAGGCACCACGTGAGTGGCACGACACACTGAGGACTACGCTTGCGGCTCTTGGGTTCGCGCCTTCTACTGCTGACCCGTCGCTGTTTCTGCGCACCGACACTTCACTGCCGCCGTTCTACATCCTCGTGTACGCCGACGACTTGGTTTTTGCCACTGCTGACACTGAGGCTCTCGCCCACGTGAAGTCGGAGCTGCAGAAGAGACACACGTGCACAGACTTGGGTGAGCTGCGCAGCTACCTTGGCTTGCAGATCACCCGGGACAGAGCACGCCGCACCATCACCCTGAATCAGTCACACATGGTGCAGCAGGTCCTTCAGCGCTTCGGCTTCACCTGGTCTTCAGCACAGGCCACTCCTCTGGCTACAGGTCACACGCTCTCAGCTCCACCTTCGGACGAGTCCGTAGAGCCGAGTGGTCCTTACCCAGAGCTAGTCGGCTGCCTCATGTACCTGATGACTTGCACTCGACCTGACCTCGCGTACCCTCTTGGTCTTCTGGCTCGCTACGTGGCTCCTGGTCGGCACCGACCTGAGCACATGGCTGCTGCTAAGAGGGTACTGCGCTACTTGTGCAGCACATCAGGCATGGGGCTAGTGCTTGGAGGGACGAGCCCAGTTGTCCTCACTGGACACTCAGACGCTTCTTGGGTTGACGACCTGGCTACTCAGCGGTCGTCACAGGGTTACACCTTCAGCCTTGGCTCTGGTTCAGTTTCGTGGCATTCTACACGCTCGTCTTCAGTTCTCAGCTCCAGTTGTGAGGCTGAGATCTACGCCACAGCCATTGCTGCACAGGAGTTACGCTGGCTCACCTACCTGCTGACTGACTTGGGAGAGCAGCCTCGTTCTCCTCCAGTGCTGTACGTCGACAACAAGGCCGCCATTGCCTTGTGTGAGGAGCACAGACTGAAGCACAGAACGAAGCACATTGCTCTGCGTTACTTCCTGGCTCGAGAGTTGCAGCAGCGAGGCCAGCTTCGTCTTCGTCACGTGGCCACTCGAGCCAACACTGCTGATATATTCACCAAGGCACTTCCGTCTGGTGATCATCAGCGCTTTTGTACCCTGTTAGGCCTTGTGCCTACGTTTCCACACTTGCTGTAGTCTCTGCTTGTACTGTGATCTATATATATACATGCATGCCTGCTCTTGCTAGGTAGTCATCACTGTACTGTTATTGTTGTATATATATCTCTGCATGTGGACTGGCCTTGTGGCCCTTTGCTTGTGCTCAGAATGTGTGGTGACGTTGAGATCCACCCTGAGCTTGCTTTGCTTCTCTTGACTGGTCGTTTGACCCCCTGTTCTCCCCCACTTTGCCTATGGGGGTGTGTCAAACATATATGCTGCATATTTTCTAGGCTGTAGTGGGGTAGCCCATATGGGGTACAGCCCAATTAGGGTTTACTACTTGTACTCCTGCATGCTGCTAGTTCATCCATTCCTGCTGCTAGATTCTGACAATATGCCATCCCATCTGCACCTTAGTGCTGTTGACATGATGCTCCTTTCCTGACTGCGTTCAGTCAACAAAGCCCATTGCCACGGAATTTCCTATCATTCCCTTCCCGTACTAGCCATATAACATTCGTTTATTCTTTTTGGAGGCTGTTTCTTTACATTTGTGCGTCTTTTTCTGGCTCATGAACCACATATAATTATGAATTCTGCATCTTCAGTTTTTTTTCTTTTTCTGTGTTTTGGTGGAGAAAAATGTTGATACCATAGCTTCGCCTACACCTTAGCGTACAATATTGTGCGACTTTGTTGTAACTAATCTCTTTATAATAGGTACCGACCTCCCTGGTCTGCCCTAAGCCACTCGTCGCCACCTCATGCTTTACAGTACCTGTGGCTGCCGCATTGATGAGGAAGGGCACTGTTACAGTGGATGATGCAGTTCCTGGTGACCGCGTCAGGCTTTGCCAGTGCCACGTCTGATGTCCTTTTGCCAGAAGAGAAATGAAACGGAGCAAGCTGGAGTTCATCAATTTGAACCATATGAATATCTGTAGTAACCGTATTTAACCGTTTACGCACCACGCCCTTCTGGAAAATGAAACTCATCACGGACCCTCTCAGTGAACGGCTGCCGCTGCTTGCCCAGTGTTTACTGCTGTACGTGTACACGTATCCTTTCCCGCGCCGACACAAGCTGATCTGATACGGCAACATGGATATGTGTGACTGGCTGACGACACTTTCATGATTCATCTGCAAGATGAACGTGTCACCTCCTCAGGGCACAAGATCCACCGTGTCGTTGTGCCGTGACGAATCCGCAGGCCCTATCATTTCGTTCCATCCAAATCGGGTGCAGATGCATCCGAATTATTCAAGCTGCACAACTTGCAAAATCTGTCGTCTTGGATCCCACACCCCTTCACCCTCCAAACACAAAACCGAACCCAAACTCAAACCAACCAAACCAAACCAAACCCAAACCTGAACCGCTTCGCGCGCACGCGTCGCATCTGAATCTTCACCTTCAGAAATTTATCCCAACTTCGGTGCTGCGCGGTTTCGTTGGGGAATTGCGTGAGTAACTTCCCACCACAAGAGCCAGAGCAAGCAACTCTGGAGCCACCTGGCTTTCTGTTCCCGCCATTCAAGCTCCAATCCAACAACGTGAGCCTGAGCTTTTCATTCCGTCGAAATTCCAGGTGAAAGTTGAGCATTCCAGATTTAGCTTTCTATCGTGGTTCAGGTGAAAAGTTGAGCACTTCCGTCGAATTTTCTCCCGCCATGCTCAATGAGCTGCATCGATAATCCTAGTAGTGACGCGACAACCGTCCTGAACCATTCCCAGTCGTATTGAATTTCGAAGGACAATATTATTTGCGACTCGTTCCATAAATCGCCGATCTTGCACCAGTGGTGCTTCGGAGCAACGCGTCGCGCACAGGCGAGTCACAATAGCGATTTAGTCCTAAACGAATCAACCGCGGATGGCTCTCGTGCAGCAGCGCTCCCAGCGGCGATTAGCTCCCGCCGTTGGCGGCAACATAAATTCTTACCAGCCGCCCAGCCACTACGGCGCCGCGCCGGGGGCGGCGAGCATGACAATGAACGCGAGACCGCAACACGCGCCGCAAGGCGCGCAGCAACCGGCGCCGACAAAGGCAGAGCTTCAGATGGCGAAGGCGCAGGAGCTTATGCGGAAACTGAACAGGCCGGACCTTCACGAGAAGCAGCCTCCACCGGAAAGCGACAAGAAAGAGAAGAAGGACAGACCGCGGCTATCAAATCACGATCTGCAGCAGCTTGTGAACCCTAATCTTTCTAAGATGAAGGGCCCTCCGGCTTTGTCGCAGAAGATTCAAAGGCAGTCCTCTGGGGTGACGTGTCAACAGAACGGTGTTGCGTGCCATCCGCCGCAACACGCGGCGCAGTTTCAGCAGCAAAACAGGCCGTCGGCGCAACACGGACCGGGAGCTTCTATGGGGGAAGCTTCCCCGCAACTTCACAAAAACACATCGCTGCCGGTCGGGCGGAGAAACGCGGCTCCTCATGGAGTTTCCGCTCAGCCGAACAGAAGCAGCGCCGCAGGTATGGTGGGTCCGAACCCACAAGGTCGGTTCGGGCCCCCCTCGGGGCAAGCGCCCGGACCTGGAAATTTGGGTCGTCGGGTGAGTCTTCCAGCCGGGTTTTCAGGGGAATCTGATGCAGGGTATGGCTCGCCAGCGCAGCTGCCGCCGCAATTGTCGCCGCACGGGCCGCCGCAGACATCGCCGCACGGACCGCCGCAGGCGTCGCCGCACCTCGGGAACGCGCCCCCGCCTCCGCTGAAGAGCCCCGTGGGTGCCGGAATGCGGTCCCCCACATCCTCTCGGGGAGAATTTGCGGGTGGCGGCGGAGGCGGGATGGGCGGGGGAGGAGGGATGGGCGGAACGGAGGGGGAAACGCGCTCGTTAACTAGCAACAGGTCACTAACGAGGATGCTCGAATGCAAGGAGGTTAGTGGCGATAGTAGCCCGCGAGTTTCGGGGGGCAGGTTCACCCGGGAAGGGCAACTACGACCAGAAATTAGTCGTAGTGATGACGAGCGCTTCGGCGCGGCGGCATGTGATTATAACGAACCGAGAGGCTCAAACGCATATGCGGAAGACGAGGACATGTACGGCGGAGCAGAGTCGGCGGAAGGGGAAGAGGGGGAACAGGGGGAGGCGTGGAGTGAGCGGAGCGCGGAGGACGAGCGGAACGTCCGCGGAGCGGCGCCGTCAGGCGCACTCAGGTCTCCGCACGCGGCCGCGTCCCCAATGTCCCCTTCCCCCAATGGCGGAGGTTCTTCCGCCAGCGCATCTTTTCCCCCAGCGTCCCCGTCCGCGCGCCTCCCCCCCCAGCGTCCCCACCGTCGGGGGAGCTCGAACGTCGACCAACTATTAAGGACGTCCTTAGAAGATCTCCAGGCCGACTCGCGGAATTGCAGGAGCCTGTGCAACTCCAATAGCAGCTCGCCAAGTGTCAGCCGCTGTAACAGCATCGACACTACTAACGACGTCCCCTTTAACACTACCGGGGAGGCAAATAACGGGGATGGAGCAGCCGCTGCCGCCGCTCGAGGAAGGTCCAGGCTCGGCCCGAGCCGGCAAGGTAGCCTCGTTCCAGGCTCCTCCGCCGCCACTGTCGCCGCCGCCGCCGCCGTTGGCGCTGGGGCTGGCGCTCCGGCGGGAATCGCTCGAGTTTCCGGCGCTCAGCCGCCAGTCGCGCTAAGCGCCGCGGCCGCGCGCAAGTCGCTCCAGAACTTGCGGAAGAACCCTGCGAACGGCGGCGGAGGCGGAGTGGCAGGGCCGGATTTCTCGTCCTCCGCGCCGGCCAGCGCGCTTGCCGGTCCGCGATTGGCGGCGGGGCAACAGGCACCGCCGGCTGCGCGGGGCGGAAAAGGCGCGGTAGCTCGCACGCAGTCGTTGGATTGCTCGAGCGGGGCGCATGTGGGGAAGGTCGTACTTAAATCCCGCGCCGCGTCGGTCGATATGGCAGGCGTGGCCGCACAAGCCGCCGCAGCAGTAGGGGCGGCAGCAGCGGGAACAGCGGCGGCGACGGCGGCCGGAGCGGCGGGAGCGGCGGGGGGGAAGGTCCCGAAGTCCTTCTCCGCAACTGGCGCCGCGTCTTTTGGCGGAAAAGCCTCTCCGCCTGTGACGCGTGTTGCTCGCTCGCTTTCCTCCCTCTCCGGCGAGCTCGCCGCTTCTTCCGCCGCGTCTGGCGGAAATAGCGGGATTGGTTCCATCGCCGCCGCGGCCGCCGCGACTGCCGCGCTAGACGACGAAGTCTGCAGCGTGGAGGAGATCCGATCCGCGTTTTACAAGGCCAAGGGCGGCGGAAAGGGAATTTTAGGGTTTGCGATGCGCGGACTGTCGCAGCTGTCGGGGATGCTAGGAGGAGGAGGCGGCTTGACGGAAAACGTTCTCGGAAGGGAGTTTTCCGCGATTGAGAAAAAATATTTCGTCATGATGGACCAGGAGCTTGGGGCGGGCCAGTTTGGCGTGACGCGGATGGCCAAGTGCCGACAAACGGGGAAGCAGTTTGCCTGCAAGTCAATCTGCAAGGCAAATCTCAAGGTAAGCTGCGAATATCAAGATTTGCGGTTTGATTGTGAAACCTCCTCCCCCTCCCTTCCCTCACTTTCTCTCTCTCATTCCTCTCACTCATTTCCCTTTCCTTTGCTTTCCGCACCCACGCCCTTCCCTCACCCACTCTTTTCTCTACCTCGCTTCATTCCCACAGTCACTCCCTTCCCTCCTCACTCCCTTCCCTCCTCACTCCCTTCCCTCCTCAATCCCTTCCCCCCTCACTCCATTCCCCCCTCGCTCCCTTCCCTCATCACTCCCTTCCCTCCTCACTCCCTTCGCTCCTCACTCCCTTCCCTCGCTCACTCCCTTTCCTCGCTCACTCCCTTCCCTCTTTCACTCACTCCCCTCGCTCCCTCCCGTCAAACACTCCATTCTCTCATTCATTCCCTTCGCCTCTTTCCTCATCCTCTATCCCCATCCCTGCCCTCATTGCAATGACAGAGCAAATCGGACTTGGAGGATATCAGAAGAGAGGTTTCGATGCTGGAGACCTTAAGGCCCAACCCTAACATTGCCCGTCTGGAAGAAGTGTTTGAAGATGAGGAGGTGAGGAAACGAGATGTTTGGAAAGCACATTGACATGCACATGAACATGCACACGCACATACACACGCACATGCACAATGACATGCACGTGCACAGGCACATGCACATGCACATTGACATACACATGCACGTTGGCATGGACATGCACATGCACATGCACACGCACATGCACATGCACACGCACATGCACATTGTGAGGCACTTCGGATGGCCTGATCCCCACATAGGCCGCCTTGGGGAAGTGTTTGAAGATGAGAGGTGGGGTTGTGAGCACGTGGAAGCGCATTCACGTGCGCAACCACATGCACATACACTCACATGCACATGCATAACCACGTTCACATGCATGCACACATTGATATGAACTTGCACATGCACGTGCACATACACAATGCACCATAACGGCACCTTCTCATGCCAACCAGCTTTTTCACTCACTTCCTCATTCCCTCGCTCTTCCTCTCACCCCTCCCAGGGTGTTCACCTGGTGATGGAGCTATGTGTTGGAGGAGAGCTCTTTGACAAAATAAAGGAGAAGAAGCGATACGAGGAGAGAGAAGCCAACCCGGTCATGCGTGATCCCTCACCCGTCGCCTTCTCTTCTCTCCGCCCCCTTTCCCCGCAGGGTGTTCACATGGTGATGGAGCTATGCGTCGGTGGAGAGCTCTTTGACAAAATCAAGGAGAAGAAGCGATACGAGGAGAGAGAAGCCGTCCCAGTCATGCGGACCATTCTCGACGTTCTCGCGTTCTGCCACATGCGCGGCATCGTGCATCGCGACATCAAACCCGAAAACGTCCTCCTTACAAGCCCGGACTCGATAACCGAGTGCAAGCTCATAGACTTTGGCGTGGCAACAGTGGTGAAGCCCGGCGCAAAGCCTCTATGTGACTTTGTCGGGTCGCCGTTTTACGTTGCGCCGGAGGTGATCGAAGGAAGCTATGGAATCCCAGCAGATGTGTGGTCGGCTGGAGTTGTACTCTATGTGTTGCTCTCCGGTGTTCCCCCTTTTTGGGCGCGCACGGATGCCGGGATCATGAAGGCAATCAAAGAGGCGAAGCCGTGCTTTAAAGGGGAGGCGTGGCGCGATATATCGCTGGAAGGAGTGGACCTTATAAGGAGGATGTTGACGCGGGATCCGAAGAAAAGACTAACAGCCCGAGCTGCTCTTGGTACGTACGGAGGGCATGTTGTGTGAATCTCTCCCCCTTCCCCATGCATATTTCTCGGATATCATCCTTGCCAGTCTTCATCCCTGCCCATTGTTGATGCAGTAGCTTACTACCATGCCAGTGCCTCGTCTCACACCTTGTCATGCTCGCCCGTACCAATCTATGTCCCTGCTGCAGAGCACTCATGGTTCTCCGTTTGGAACGACTGAGCCACACACGCCGGCCTTCAGGACCAATTTTTTGTACACAGAGTGGGTTTATGTACAAAATAGTGCTTGCCTGACTGAACAAGTGTACGTCATCTCACATTTTTACTATACACATTACGATGCAGTATCTCGGCCTGCATTTTTGCCATGTTCAAATTGCTACTATCCAAGGCATAATATACTCTGCAGTTGTCCTGGCTCGTTTGGTGCGAGTTTATAAAGAGGATTGAACTATGTATCAGATATTCTAGTCGTGTAGGCCCGCGTGCGGTACTGTACATGCTTATTGCATCCGCTCGCCTTTCCCGCGCGTGGGTGAACCAACGACCTGACTTTGCCTGACGCCCCATCCACGGCTTCTTGCGGTTGTGGCTGGAAGGACATGGCAGGGAAACGCAGCGCAGTCCTCGCATTGCCGCAACACCGCCGCTGGCCGTCACGGGGCCGTGGCACCAACAATTGATTGCACTTCGGCTGGTGGCTCATGTTGTCTACAGACCTGGAAACCTGGCACGGCACTACTCCTCAGGCCGCGATTTCGGAAGATTTAGTGTCAAGTGGATGATCGATGCATGCACGGTACGTACACCTGTTCTCCGGTATTTCCACACCCCCTACCCTCGTTTTTGCCAGACACCCTATACGGCTTGAGGATCGATGAGACGGACACCCTAACACTACGGATCTATCAGTAAAGAACCGTCAGGTGCTGGCCATTTGAAACTCATATTTGTAATCAGGGTGAGCGGGGAAAATTCCCAGTGCCATAATGTTAGAGTGTTAAACTCGCATTGAGATCGTGTCTTACTACCCTCGAAACTCCCGCGATCGTTTCTAACTACCTTCGAAATCAAAACTTTCCGAGGGTAGGTACCCCATCTCGTGAAGATAGGGGGTGTGGAATTATCGCAGGAAAGGTGTACAACATGGGCGTGAAAAAATGTAGGAAAAATATGTCAATGGTAACTTACATGGGGAACTATAACGCGTACGGTAACGATTTCAACGCGTTTGGTAACTCGCTTAACGCGTTTGTAAGGAATTACAATTCCTTACTGTACTCGCATTTTAGCGAGTACAATCCGAACACCACGCGTCAGCCTGGTTCGGCCTACTTTTCCGCCCCGAACCACTTCCGAGTCGCCACCGCTCCAATCGCAACACTTCCCGATCCATCCTAGCCCGACCCCTTCGCCTAGCTAGGGTTCCCCTTATAAAACCTCGTCACTTTCCTTGTATCGTCATTCAGTAGTTCATTCATTCTCGTTATTCGTTTTACTGCGCACTCTGCAAGTTCATTCATAACACCTGGTATCAGAGCTACTTTCCTAGCCTATCCCGCTTTTTAGAGTGTAATATCCCTTGGGGGGGGGGGGGGACGAGGAAGGATGTCTTGGGGTCCAGGAGTTGCGTAGGCCGGCCAAGAGAACTAGTTAGTTGCTCTTCGCGGCGATGTTTTTACGGGCACTCCTTGGGCACCGCCAGATCCTTAGCTCGAACGGTCGCGATCGACCGTGACCTCCCTCCCCCCGGGCAACGGACAACTGTAGCTGTCGCGACATTGAACGTGAGTTTTTTCCGCTGCGTCGCGACGATTTCGGAGTTATTTTCGTGTGGCAGCTGGCGTTAGCGGACCTGCGTCGACGGCTGCACGAAGATTTCGGAGTCGTCGTCTTGTGAAGCAGTTGACGTGGGTCGTCGTCAACTTGCGCGCGACATTTTCGGAGTGTTGCACCTGTTGACAATGGACATGCAGCACTGTGGGCGACAATTTCGGAACTGTTGAAGAAAAAACAAGGGGCAACTGTACGGACTCGCCAGGCGCTAAAGTAATTGCGTCTGAAAAAGCTGGTGACGAGGAGAGACGCCACGAGGACTGCCCGATTTATGCGGGAGTCAACTGCCGTCCCGCCCGACCTGTTAAGTGCAGCGGCCTTTACTGCATTGGCGGGCGCGTCATCAACGTTTTCGGCAGAAGTGCATGTGGACAGACGGGAGCTTTGGACCCGCCGACACTTACGGGCTGCAACAAACAACGGAGTGGCTAAATCGCACTCAGCGGAGTGGGACGCAGGCGGCGAGGGCAATTTGGGCCGGACACTCGAAAAATCCTCGTTCGACGCTGCGTGCCTGGAGTTGTTGCCAGCTGTTCGACCGTTTCGAGATCGGTTTCCCCGTCCCGGGAAGTCGTTTTCGGGGACAGCCGCAACAGCCCACGATTAAACGGTGTTCAACGTACTACCCCGCCAATTTCGGAGGTGTGTGGTACAGGCCGCCGGGACACACGAGAAGAAACTGCCCAACGGCTAAGCGGGGGTTGAAGAACGGGGTGGGGAGCAGATTAAACGCCGGTGGAACCGATCTGCGGCCCTACTTCGCCCGAACCTCACCATCCCCACCGATTACTGGTTCCGACTCATGCAGTCGACCTTTTTCGGATGAATAACGGGGGTGAACACGTGCCTACCCTGTGCTGGTTAAAGGCACCTGGTTTGGTGCTCGTTCGACAGCTGTACGAAAATAAAAAAAAAAGGAGTTCGCGGCACTGTTCTACTCCGACAAAAGCGGGCTGGGTGAACGGCACGCGAAAAAGTCGGGGAGCTGCGATGACAACAACGGTGCAGTTTACTGGTTTCTCCTGACCCAGACGTCTACATGAGTTGACTGCGCAGCGGCGAAGCTGAGACCCGGAACCTGCGGTATTACGTGGCGTGATAGGCTGGTGGGCTGCAAAGCGGTCGGGTGCGAGCTTTTTAAATAAAACTGCCCCGACTCCGATAGCATTTGCGCCTGCACCGTAGCCGGATTATCGCGCGGGCATCATCGACAATACCCCATCCGACAAAAGCGGACGCTGGGTGAACGGCGGAACGCGAAATTGTCGGGGGGTGAAGACAAAAAAAAAACTGTTGTGGAGGGAAAGTTGTGGGTGATCCAGCAGATCACTTGAGTGAGAGGTTGAGAACGTGCACCACTCCACCGCGAATTTCAGAGTCTATTCGGTAGACATTTGAAAGGGTTTGATATTTATACATGGAGGCGCGGCGAGGGGTGCATCGCCAAGGATACCTGGGATTCGTTAAGTGGCTTCGACGGGTATGAAGATGGGTGAACATCGGAGTACCAGGGTTAACGGCGGAAACGTCGGGGCTACACGGCGGAAAATAACTTCGGGACTGCTGCCTCAACCGCGATTTTCGGATGATTACGACACAAAAAAAAATGGGTGGAATCGAGGGTGTTCAATAGCACGCCTCTGGAAAATTTTCAGTATACGTAGGAGCAGCCGGAAGCTTCAGAAAATTTCTGCCAACGACGAGCATGTTGAGATAAGCGGTAGTCTTAGGAGCCATAGCTAGGAGAGTCCTAGCTAGGCAAGAGAGTTTAGGCGAAAGAGGGGGTTGCACTAGCAAGAATGGGGATACAAATAGCAAACCCTAGAAGGGTTGTACTCGCTACAGAGCACCCCACTACAGGCTAGAGCATAATATTCTGACACATCCCCATAGCCAAAGTGGGGTGTAATCAGCACAGCAAGCAAAGCAGTACAAGCTCAGGGTGGATCACAATGTCACCACACATTCTGAGCACAAGTTTAAGAAGCAATAGTTTAAAGTTCACAATTATGAGCAAAGCTAGTGGTAGTCACAACGGGCAAGTGAGGAGGAGGAGGGCTAGCGAGAGGAGAGTAGATGGGAGGCGACGACTGAAGCTGCAGGCACACGGGCAACAGACGGCTCTGGTGCGACACAGTGGCTACCGGGAGTGAGTGCCCCGGAGTACAGGAGTAACAGGCTCCGCGGCTAAGACGAGCAGCAGGAGCAACGGACCCACAGGCGACGGCGCAACCGGCTCTCTGAGCTACCGGGAGTGAGTGCCCCGGAGTACAGGCGCTGCGTACGACACGACGGCAACCTCCCCTCAACCTCCCCCAACAGTCCCACATCCCTCGACACACACCCGCTGCTACACCGCTAGCTCCACTCCCCCTTCACCCCCCCTTAGTACCACTCCGACGGCTCCAACAGGTCCACCCCCCTCAGCGGCAGCTGCAGCACAGGGAGACGGAGGAGGAGGAGGAGCAGGGAACGGCACACAGAAGCTGCACCCCCATACCCCCCAACCCCAAACCCTAATCCAGGAGAACGGGCAGAAGGAGGGGTGGGGCGCCTTCAGAAGCACGGGGGACAGCGGGGAGGACAGGGGCAGCGAAGAACGGGGCGCCCACGGGCCTGGCACAGCCTCCCGAACCGCGCGCAGGCGGTCCGAGCCGCGCGCGGGACTGGCGCAGCCCGTACGGGCCGCGCGCCGGGTGTACGGGCCGCGCGCAGGCCACGACGGGCGACGGGGGGAGACGCACGGGTCCCCGTCGCCCGTCGCAGCGCCTCCCGGGGGCGACGTGCCGAGTGACGGGGCAGGAACCCGTCGCGCGCCTCGGGGCACACGGCGGGCAGAGAACCGCCGCGCGCCTCGGGGCGCACGGCGGGCAGAAAACCGCCGCGCGCCTCGGGGCGCACGGCGGGCTGAAAACCCTAGTTTCGACGCCGCGCACCACGGGGCGCGCGGCGGACAGGGAGTAGCAGTAGCAGCGGAAGCAGTGAAGTGGGCCCACAGGCCACGAACGTTAAGCTCTGATACCATGTTGAGATAAGCGGTAGTCTTAGGAGCCATAGCTAGGAGAGTCCTAGCTAGGCAAGAGAGTTTAGGCGAAAGAGGGGGTTGCACTAGCAAGAATGGGGATACAAATAGCAAACCCTAGAAGGGTTGTACTCGCTACAGAGCACCCCACTACAGGCTAGAGCATAATATTCTGACAG